AATGCTAGCTGTCACCTCTCGGCTGTTTGTTGTGTTTGTGCCGTTTTGGAGGATTTTTCATGCTAATATTGGACAAATTGTTGTGCAGGTAATTGTCTAAGAGAAAAGACTGAAATTCTAGCATTATATCATTTATACATTAACACTAATTAGCAGTTATTTGTGTCTGCGCTCACCATACCTGCCTTGTCAGCTGGCTAACTAGCCAGGAAATTAATTAGCCTTGGGTTAGCCTTCGAGCAAGACGATGCTAACATGATGCTAACAGGAGCGTATGATTTCCGCTGTTCTTAAACCGGCACACACCCGAGTCTCGGCTCCCCACACGCCCCACCTCAGACAGAGTCCGCCACTGCCTGACATCAGAAACTTACAGGTGAAGTCATGGTCGCTATATCCACCTTTATTTACAGTCTATGGTGCCAGTTCAAATTTGTTGAAAATTGATTTTTCGAAATAGCCACAGCCCCGATATAAATACGTAACGACTTTGAAATTAATAATTCGCATTTGGACAATAGGTAATTAAAAAGGGGCAGCATGTGAGGACTGTTCCCATTTAATTAGAAAATGTATGTATGCACACATGAACCATCACTGCATGATTACATATCCACAGTAGTGAGTTGCTCCGGTGGCTCACGTCGTGGAGCTATACCATAAAGGCTTTGTCCTAACCTGTGTCCGACCTGTGGCCCTATGCTGCATGCCATTACCTCTCTCTCTCTCTGACTTTCCAGTCTCTCTCTTCCTGTTGCTGTCAGAATATGGCAAAATATAACATGTCCACAGAAATATATGCTCCTATGGTGTTGCGTACCAATATGTTTTCTTCCACACAACAGTGATTGACTACATTTGCTGAGAGCTCAATGCACAAAGAAAAGTAAAGTGCTTCACCACTTTGTCAACACATACATACATGCATGTGGAGAAAAATAAATAACCAAATAATTAATTATTATTATTGTTTTTTATTAATCTATTATTATTCATTAATGTGTGTGTGTGTGTGTGTGTGTGTGTGGTATAAAGCGATGCTGAGCAAATACACAAAACACAACCAAAAACACAAATGCTACAAGTCATTAAGAACAAATTAAAGCTGAATCAAAATACAAAACTAATACGAGGCAGACATTGGCATAGAGCCAACATCTCCAAGAATATTGTTATCATGCAAACACAATGTTAGAACTAAAATAAACCTTAAATTAATTAAATCTTGCATCATATTCATAGTACTATAATTAAATAATTCCAGCTCAGTCTTTACCTCTTAGTGTATTGTTTTAGACTTTTATAAAATATATAATCTTTGCTGTATATCTTTTTCAATTTTCTTCATGTAAGATTTGAGTTATTTACATTCATGATAAAATCCACATAAGATTCACACTGATGCACTAAACTGTTTAAACACCAGATGTTATTCATGGTACACTTTTGAATAACAGCAACTATTATTACTATTATTTACAATGATTGATACAGACTTTTAATGTAAATTTAACTGAACTGCCTCTGGCATATCACACACAACACATTGAAACAGGCTTAACAGCCTTAGAAATGAGAAAAATAGGCTTTGTTTTACCTGATCAAAAGGGTAAACATTTCTAAAGTCTTCGAGGGCCCAGTCATGTGACAATGCGACACAGTCACACAGGCCTTTACAGCGCTCCATACCATGTTGCTGGGTCAGGGGTTTACACAATGGGGGCCCACCGCCTCTGTACGTTTTGGTCAGGTATAAAAGGAAGGGTTAAACCAAACAGGGACAGCAGTGCAGCGGTAGCAGTACCAACAGCAACAGCAGCAGCTCATCTACAAGTATGACCACCACTGACATGAGCATGGGCAAGGTAAGCTTTTTTAATATATATATATATTATATATATATTAAAGATTAAATAATATCCATGCTTTTACTATCAACTCAAAATCTAAATTAATTTACGCCCTCATTTTTCAGATCATCTTTTACGAGGACAGGAACTTCCAGGGTCGTTCCTATGAGTGCATGAGCGACTGCGCCGACATGTCCTCCTACCTGAGCAGGTGCCACTCCTGCAGGGTGGAGAGCGGCTGCTTCATGGTCTACGACCGCCCCAACTACATGGGAAACCAGTACTTCATGAGGAGGGGCGAGTACGCCGACTACATGAGCATGATGGGAATGAGCGGTGGCATCAGGTCTTGCCGTATGATCCCCATGGTAGGTTCAAAACACAAGTAAAACCAAAATTCTTGAAAGAAATTAAATATTTTTCCTCAAATTAATCATTTTGTGGCTTGTTTTCCTAAAACAGCACAGAGGCCAGTTCAGGATGAGGATCTACGAGAGGGAGAACTTCGGTGGTCAGATGCACGAGCTGAACGAGGACTGCGACAACATCCAGGACCGCTACCGCATGAACGACTGCATGTCCTGCCACGTGATGGACGGCCACTGGCTGATGTACGAGCAGCCCCACTTCAGAGGCAGGATGTTGTACGTGAGGCCCGGAGAGTACAGGAACTTCAGGGACATGGGAATGAGCAGCAACAGGTTCATGAGCATGAGGCGCATCGTGGACATGTGCTAAACATTTTCATTTCTAAATAAAAACTGAACGATAAAACAAAAGAGTCTTTTTTTTCTTTTCTTTCATGTTTGCAAAATATGTGATTTGATATATTGAATTGACAAGGAGGATTACTAATAAGAATCAGAATTTAAAGGTTTATCCAAATAACAGGGAAAAAAATATTCTTGTAACATTTATTCCAGTTATAAAATCTTTACACTGGCTTCCAGTTAGTGACAGAATACACTTTAAAGAGCAGCTACTAGTCTATAAGTCACTGAATGGTTTAGTCTGTGACATGTTTAAAAGTATAAACCAAGAAGGGCTCTTAGATCCAAGGGTGCAGCTCAGCGAGTACAGACAGCCCAGAGTCCAAGCTAAACACAATGAGGCAGCATTTAGTTGTTCAACTGCCAGAAACTCTTACAGCTGTCCCAATTATAGCAATTTTTAAATCCAGGTTAAAAAATATTTAGGTCTAAATTTGCTTTTTTATGCCTACTGCACTTTAAATCTGAAAGCAGACCTCTAACTGCTCCCAGCATGCATCTCTGGCTTAAGGCTAAACTGTACTAGTGGCCATTCTCTCTATGGTTCTTTAATAAAAGTAAAATTAAGGGCTACTTCAACTGTTTTGTTTCTATTTTATTATATTTCACATGCTACTGTATTTTCCTTTGTATTGCATATCTTTTAATCACACTACTGTCTCTTTACTGTCTTTCTAGATACTATTTTGTAATCTCTAAATTATATTTCATATAATTGTAGGAAATGTGCAAAAACAACACACTGTAAAAACACACTGTCACAAAAGATTGAGGAGTAAAGAATGAAATGTTTAATTAAAAAGCAATACATACATGCATTTTGCAACAGTCAAAGAAAAATAAAGTCAACAAACCACAAGTACTTTTGCAGATTATGAATCTGATATGATTTATTACTGTGGCCAGCACGGTTATTTGTATCAGAGACATCAAAACATTACAATGAATGATTAATCTTGTGTAACAGGTGATGAAGCTGTTGTAATAAATGCATATACTGCTGGAATACACTGTGTGAACTCTTTCTTCTATATATATCAATACTACATGTATATTAATATAAACATATCTAATTTGTGACATTCATACTTACGTTCGTCCACGTCTTGTGACGTCATCTGAAGAAGAGCAGCCAGCCCAGGCAGTCTGACTCCTACGCAGATTTGCTGAAGTCACAGTGAACTTTTACTGTATGAAACCAGACCACAATCTCTCCATGACCCTAACCAGGCGCCTCACCTGGCAGGGCGTGAACCATTAAGGCTCAGTCCTCACCGCAGCGGCCCTGATCCGAATCCGCCCCGCGGCCCTTTGCTGCATGTCATCCTCTCTCTCTCTCTCTCTCTCTCTCTCTCTCACTGCAACTATAATGAAGAAATAAAAAGCCATAAAAAAATAACTTTAAAAACGAAAAATGCTGTAGTGTACACTACATATTGAAAAATGGCCCCCAAGGGTTACCAAGCGTCCGTATGTGACGACAGTGTAGTTCATGTGAGTTTATGCTCTGAACTATTCAGTATTCCCTTTTGTCATTTTCATTTATTTAATCAGGTAAAATTCTCATTGTGTTTAAAGTCAAACACATTGAAATAGGAGATTATGAACAATAAGATGCATAAACATATCTCAACACATGTATATAGTATATAATTGTAGCACTGCCTACTCTGAAAATCATTATAGCCCATACTACAGTCAAATTATTCCACAGTGTAATGTAAATCTATATTGGATTACGTTGCCAACTGTAAGGAAATTCAAACACGCATTGTGCAAAGTAAGGTCAACTATTGTTACTCTGCAAACAGCTGATAACATCATGTAGATGTTGTGTGTGTGTGTGTGTGTGTGTGTGTGTGTGTGTGTGTGTATGCAAGAAGTGTGAATATAACAAAGCAGATAATATATAGTAAAACAAATAGAAAAGTTTTCCATAAATTAAACAGGTTATTTGCTGCAGCCTTCACAGAATTCATGCAGCGTTTGTATTGAGTTAGTTCAGTCAGTATTTGTAAAAAAAACAAAACAAAAAGATTCACACTATCAATTACAGATAATTCATAAATGTATTTATCTCTTTAAAAAAAAAAAAAAAAAAAAGTATGTAACCTCTATGCCAGGAAACATCTTGATAATATTCAAACTAATCAGAAAAGTTACAGGACAGACAGAGAGGCCATTTGATCTAGAATGATAAAGCCTGTGAGAGGATGCATAATAACCCGTTCCCATCAGCATTCACAAACAGAGGGACATGCTGCTGACTCATGGCTTCCATACAATAGTGTCATCGATTGTTTGCATGCTGCGTTAGGTATAAAAAAGGCTTAAAATCCTGGATAGGATTGCTATAGCATCACTCATTGTATCAGCCACCATGCACGGCAAGGTAAGTTTATTACAGAGATTTTACATTCAACGTATGTCCTTTGAATTAAAATGTTTTTCTGACTATTACCACACTGAGATTCTTTCATGACAAGTATTTAACACATCCCTTGTTTTTTCAGATCATCTTCTACGAGGACAAGAACTTCCAGGGTCGCTCCTATGAGACCAGCAGCGACTGCGCCGACATGTCCTCCCACCTGAGCAGGTGTCACTCCTGCAAGGTGGAGAGCGGCTGCTTCATGGTCTACGACCGCCCCAACTACATGGGCCAGCAGTACTTCCTCAGGAGAGGAGAGTACTCTGACTACCAGCGTATGATGGGTTTCGGTGACTGCATCAGGTCCTGCCGTATGATCCCCATGGTACAACTCTGAGAAAATCAACACATACAGAGCACTGCGTATCCTCTGTAGTAGAATCTGATTTAGTTTGCCCTTGTTTTGATTTGGTTTCTTATTTAGTTATTCTTTAATATCTTATTCAGGTTGTTGAGCCTCATTGATTTTGTAATGTTATGTGTGTTTTAACTTAGTGTGTTAAGTTTGATCTGTGTTTATTGTTTTGTCTTCTGGTTATTTAAGTCATAGTTTTGTTAAGTAAAAAAAATGTATCTATAAGTTTCCATCAAAATGATTAACCAGTGTGTATTTTTATTATTTCGCAACAGCACAAAGGTTCCTACAGAATCAGGCTCTACGAGATGGAGAACTTCGGTGGTCAGATGCATGAGCTGAACGAGGACTGCGACAACATCCAGGACCGCTACCGCATGTCCGACTGCCAGTCCTGCAACGTGATGGACGGCCACTGGCTGATGTACGAGCAGCCCCACTACAGAGGCAAGATGATGTACCTGAGGCCCGGAGAGTACAGGAACTTCAGGGACATGGGATACGATGGAATGAGATTCAGCTCCATCAGGCGCATCACTGACTCCTGTTAAATTTCCAAATCAATCTGTATTTGAAAAGATAAATAAATCTGATCTTGGAAATAAAATCATGTTCATATTCCACATGGGATAAACAAGTTTTGATGTTGATTTAATTGTGTTTGTATATTGTATAATTTGAATACACAATAGAAGAAGACAGTTAGAAAAATAGTTGAGGATCAACATTTGTTCTCAAGATGAAACATCTCAAATATTTTCATTATTTTTCAACCGTACGTTTTCACAAATTTTATATTGTTTATAAAATATATGAATTGAGAAATGCTTTAAATCATTAATTATAATTTAGGCTCTTATCAGATAATAACACTTAAAGTTGATTAAAAATAAATAAATAAAAATAATTAATGTCGCTCTGAGCTTTGAGTAAAACAGCATTAGGCAGATTATAAGGAATTATTTGTCACATAATATCTCACACGTTGCTGTGGCAAGACAAAGTGAAGCATGTTTTTTAATTATCTGATGCAGGGAGGAGTAAACGAGTCACAGCACAGTCTTCTTTGTTATATTGCATTTTAACCATTCGGCTGGTTCAGTTGTTAAATGCACGAGTGATGTGCAGCACACATTCCTGCACAACGTCAGACACAAACACGGACATGTGGATTCAAATAAGGATTAGTGTCTGAATGCAGACAGTTTGGTCTCAGTTGAAATGGTTCTGCATACATGAGCTAATAACATGATGCCAATATTTAAGAAAGACTATATAATTAATGCAAAGCTCAGTAACTTATTGCCACTTTTTTATTGTTATTATTGTTGTTATTGTTGTTGTTGTTGTTGCTAACATTAGCACATTAGAACTACTGTCTAGCCCAGGTACTCATTTGTTGTGGCTAAAAAAATCAACAACAAACAAAACAAAAAAACACTGACCTTTGTGTCTCAAATTGAGACCAAAATCAAACACCAAGAAATTCTGTAATTAACCAACAAGTTCAAATTGATTCTTTTGTCTTTTCAAGTGCAAAAAGTTACACATAAAATCTACACATGATGTATGCATTCATACTATAACATGCATCTGTATCAGCCGTGCAAACAAATCTGACTACAGGTTATTACCCCAGACCTGACCTACCTGAACAGGTACTGCCCCATTTTAAACCTTAAACCTTAAAGTCTGAGGCTGTATTTTCTGTTATTTCTTCTGCAGATATAAAAGGTATTTGGTTGCTTTGGAATCATTTCATCACATATAAAAAAATAAAGGTAATAGGGCAACACAGAATATGACACTCAACAGCACATTAACACAGCGGCGTCTCAAAATAATGAATGATCAGCCTTACCGGTCTGTAGATCCTCCGGATGAACGTGGCTGGTAAACATAAAGCACATTTGCACAACTGAAATTCATAGCAGACCAAACATTTATAATCCAGAACAGAAAGTCGGTGAGTGTAGGAGGCATCTGGTCAAAAGGCCAGACTTCACCCAACACACCACACGCTGATATCAGGCAGGTAACATCACTGTATTCATCCCTGGCCTGTCGATCTGGATGTGAGGTTGAATCTGCTTCCAGTGATGTTTGACACTAGAGGGCAGAAGAGGCCTGACATACCACAAACTCACCAAGTTACTGTGACTAAAAACTTCACTGAGTGAGCAGCAGTACAGCGACAAAACTGTCCACAATAAAATCAAAAGCATGTCAACACACTTCCCCTATCTGCTGGATATGTGGGGGAAACCTGTGATCAACATCAGGCTTCTAAGGTCAAACTCCGAGTGGTCACAGAGACGGTGTGATTTATGGACCCTGTCTCCAAGTGTTTATGTTTGTATGCAACTAATTTGCAACAGCAAATATATTTTGAATGAAATGTAATGCCGGCAATATAATTAACATATTTGTCAAATCCCAAAAATGTCAGGGCACAGTCTTCTCCTCCTCCTTCCTTGTGTTTCTGTGAGTCTTGTCAGTCCGGGCGTGGTAACTTCAGATGGAGTCTTCCTGCACAGCTGTCTACTATCAGTAATCAACTACCAGCAGTATATCTACCAGGCTCTGCTCTCCGCTCTGTTTACCAGCGTGGTAACACTGCTCAGGCCACCGCTAAGTTTTGTGAGTGATTGCTGCGTCTCAGAATCCTTGTTATTGACCCTTGGTTTCCCTCTGCTCAGGTTTGTCCTCACCTGAACTCGTCGGCTTCACTCAGCCTCCATCAGACCTCTGTTTCATGCAAGACCTGTGCAAGAGGTTTCATGTTTCATGCAAGACCTCTGTTTCTTCTACATAAACATAAGTGTTACAATAAAACCTTTGAAATCTCAGCAAAACTCTCTGCTGATTGTTCTGCAAATTATGGGTCAAGTTACTCTATTTATAACAGGCAGAGTGGGTTTTCCTGTATGATGAGAAATCAGAATATCTGACACTTCCACTCCCGTATAAACTTGTGTCACTATCTGATTAACTCCACGTCGCACCTTAGAAACCCGTAGACTTGAAGTCAGAGTTTGTCTGAAGTCATGAAACCAACCTCCTCAAAACACCAGACACATTTCCTGACTGTTGTTGGGCCTCAATTATTAACTGGTTTTACAATTAAATTTCATCAGTTTGGTCAAAAGTAAAGTAGGATCAAGTGGTTACTTACAAAAGTTGTTTTTAAAAAATAGCAATATTCTAAAAGTTACTTAAAAAAAGTGCTAATTGGTTGTTCAGAACGAGATAAACTCCATAAACCTCAAACCTATACCCCAGCTGCACAATCACTTAATTACTTAATTTTACATTGTATATAGTATCTCTATTTTATCTTAGATTCTGTTTCTGTCCTTATTTTATTTCTTATTACGTTTTCTCCTTGTGCTACTGTGTCAAATTTGAGTTTCCTCTATCATCTTATATTCATCTTATTTTATCTTAACCTCACTTGGTCATCGGTTAAAGGTGGGAGTAAATATATTGAATTAAAACAGAGTGAGATGCTGCATGTGATCAGTTGTATGCCTGATTAGAAAAGAGTAATTAAACCTTTTTTTTTTCACAACGATAAGGGGCTCGACAGATGATTCACACACAGTTACGCTTTTTAAAGACGTTTGTATGAGTAATTGATTCATACTTTATGATCAGCTGATTCAAATAGCTGAGTCATTATTTGAAGATTATGTTTGAGAAGAAATCGGACCCTTGGAAACAAGACGCAGACATGTATAGTGTTCATATCCATGAAATTCACTGTCAGCAACTAGTCGGATTCAAACCGGTACAAAAAATTGCTGAAAAATATGAAAATTTTATGAAATATGTTTTTATTCAGAGATATTCTGATTTTGAAATAATAAAAATCAGTAATATATTTCCTGGTGTATGATTGCGATTGTTTAAAATCTATTATATGGTTTTATTTACTATATTTGATTTAGTCTATTGAGCTTCAGCAAGTTGTGCATTTGTTTCTTCACTGCTTTCAATCAAAACAAGCTACTTGCTTACTTACTCAAATGCATTAATTATGTATATATATATATATTATATATATTAAGTCCAATCTTTCTGGTTTATTCTTGATTAAAAACATTAGATTAATGCCTTCAAAGGAAGGTATGTTTGTGGAAAACACGTCTGTTGTTCAGCAGCCAAAGACAATACAAAGCTGAGCCTCTTCTCACAACCTGCAACCACCGCAAATCATCATCTGTTGAAGGTCACTTTGAATTGAACCCTACACGGGGGCCTCTCCCTGCTCCATGTTGCTCTGTCAGGAATTTGAACAATGGGGTCATGGTATCCCTTGGGTGCGGGGGTCAGGTATAAAAGTGGCAGGAGGGCATGGAGAAAATTGTGCAGTCATTTTGAGCAAAAACAGTTCAACTGTAGCCATGACCATGGGAAAGGTGTGTGCAACTTCTGCTGCTCATATTTTAAGTTTAATCGGATGCAAACATCAAATTAAAATAATGTGAAATTTCCACTTAAAACAATATGTGATACACTGCATGATGGTTTCTTGTGTTTTCTTCTTCCAGATCATCTTCTACGAGGACAGGAACTTCCAGGGTCGTTCCTATGAGACCAGCAGCGACTGCGCCGATATGTCCTCCTACCTGAGCAGGTGCCACTCCTGCAGGGTGGAGAGCGGCTGCTTCATGGTCTACGACCGCACCAACTACATGGGAAACCAGTTCTTTGTGAGGAGGGGCGAGTACTCTGACTACCAGCGTATGGGCATGAGCGATTGCATCAGGTCTTGCCGCATGATCCCCATGGTATTATAAATCGCTTTTAATTTAATTATTATTATTATTTAAAAAACATTATCACTGCAACTCATAGTTACTCATTTCACTTTACAGCACAGAGGCCAGTTCAGGATGAGGATCTACGAGAGGGAGAACTTCGGTGGTCAGATGCATGAGCTGATGGACGACTGCGACAACATGATGGATCGTTACCGCATGAACGACTGCATGTCCTGCAACGTGATGGACGGCCACTGGCTGATGTACGAGCAGCCCCACTTCAGAGGCAGGATGATGTACCTGAGGCCCGGAGAGTACAGGAGCTTCAGGGACATGGGCATGAGCGGCACCAGGTTCATGAGCATGAGGCGCATCATGGATTCCTGCTACTAAATCACAGATGTATAAAAGCAAGATTTTAAATAAAAATCTAGTGATTATCTTTTAAATGGGTTCCTCTGTTAATGGCTACTGAGTGGTCTGACACTCACACAACAGTTCACAACCTAAACTCATCGTAAACATGCAGTATGTATGTTAAGGTCAGAAGATGACATACATGGGGACTAAAACAAATGAAGGCAGCATCATCCAATTTTTAAACCATGCTGGGTTACTCGAAACCATATATAGGTTTTTTACTTAGTAGTAGACATTAACGATTCTTTACATTTGTCAAATACCTACACAGATGAATATGTCTTAGCTATCTTTCGCAAGAGGAAGTTATTGAGACCAGATCATGGATTCTGATGCCACTAAAACTTATTTACTTCAAATATAAGAGGCAAACATGTTTCTGACTTTATTCAGTGTGAATTAAACTAGTAGGATTAATGCAATAGCCACAGTTTGTTTCTAATAGCGCTAAATCACAGATAAGTGCAACTTAAACTAGAGTTTTTTTTATTGGCAACCCTTGCCCTCTATAGGACATGGTACATTTGCTAAATGAACAGACAGTATAAGTGACTTGTCACCCAATAATAAACATATATTATATGTTTAATATTCTGTATTTTGTGGCCATTTTAATGCAGGAGATTAAAAAAACGTAGCATGTTATTATTGGGAAATGCTTTGGTGGTCAGGTCGACTGCTACCTGAACTACTACTGTGAAGAGAAGTGATTAAATTTACTGAATCATTCAATTATGTTGATGTTAGCACACATAAGTGAAAAACAAATAGAATGTTTACCATTAAAGGAACTTTTTGTAAGTTTTGATATTGCTGCATAGCTAACGTTAGCGTTAACATCTGTTTACCCACCAGTCTGGAAGAACTGTTGCAAGTTTAGCATCAAACTTAATTCCTTTACTCGCCAACAGCTGTGTCCAGTGGTTGAAAGCAACCTTCTTGCTTCCATTTCTATCACCACTTTTCTTCTACTGAAGTTAGCAACCAACTAGCCCCAGTTCGGACAAGCTGTCTCGTCACTTTCCGATACCGAGTCACTGTAGCGTCTAGTTTGCGCTGAAGGAGTAGCGCTGCTCAGAGGACGTGTTATTACCTCTTGTCTTGTAAACGCAACGATGGCTGAAGCTTTTGGCGAGACTGGCAAGTAAACAGCTGTTAATGCTAACGTTTGCTATGTGGCAATAGCAAAACTTACAAATAGCTCCTTTAATGAATGTAGCGCTTCATTCAAAAAGTAAATTTCCAATTTGAAATACATAAGTGTAAAAGATGGGCGTTGAGTGTCAAGAAAAAAAAGGGAAATTCTTGTCCATGTCCACAAATCAATAGATTAAATATTTTGACTAATGTGCACACTGCTGTGAGAGTGGGTTGACAGAACATACTATACACATCTCTTACCAATGATCTGGCACTGGACAGTTATTGCAGAGTTTTTGGAAACATATTATGAAATACACTGGATCGTTAAGTCTGGATCCTGAACCCATTGAAAATAATCAACTTGTTTAAACATTTAATTTCACTCGCTAGTAAAGCTAGGGGGGAGAAAAGACATGGGATCATTGAATTCACATCATGTACATTGTAATTTCTTTCAAATGTGTGTTCATCATACTTAAGATATGCATACATACTTATTCATATTACTGATTTCCCCACATATATTGCCTATAGTATATAAATATATGTTAGATACAGAGGGGAAACATTTTCAGTGTCTTTTCCAACATTAAAATAATTAATTTGTTTAAAGTATGTCGCCCTGTTTATAAGTAAAAACATACATGTTACGTAATGTGGAAGCCATACCAGCTTTTCAAAAAAGCTGACATTCAAAAACAATTGTCTGCCATTACAATGGGAATATAAAAGAGTCACGCTCGCCCATCAGAATCACATTGTGACACACAATGGGAAAGATATGGCATTTTGTGTTGCGAGTGGTCTTTTGTTCTCCAGAGTTTAGTAAATAGAACAATGGCCATGTTATGGGAGTCACAAGTTTTCTGAACCATTTCAAAAAAAGAAAAAAAAAAGAACGAGCCCCTGCTGTTATGGTTTTGCAGCAGGTAGTAAACTAAACTTTTAACATAATACTTTTTAAATGTAGAAAAGTCCCAGTGGAAAGCAGCTGCTGGATGTCCACACCGAATCCATGTGTTCTAGTCTCGCCACATGTTGTGCTTCTGCTGAAATACGTTACTTATATTCAGTTATCAATGCTTATTAAGATGGCCGATGACTGAGATATAGATGCTGATATAGAATATAGGATCCAACAGAGCCAAAAAGGAATTACATGAGAACAGCATGACCACGAAACTGTCCACCTCCATATTAAAATGCAGGTTTCTGACCAGATCACTTGATGCCACCAGCTACTTTTGCTATAGCCGTTACCTTTGCAATTTCTTAAGTAACAGACCTGTGGAAAACCTGCTGATGGCCATCAGTTAGCAGCCATGATGGAAAAGAGCACAAACATAATAATAACAATAATAATAATAATAATATCCTGAGAAGAAATTTGAAAGTCATATAAACTAAATCATTCATTTAATTGCTTAAAAGACAAATACATAAACGTAATGTAAAGTCTTATTTCCACCTCCTGCAGCACCAATGAATCCGGCCCATTCTTGGGCCACATGCTTGTTTTCTTCTGGCCCAGTATACGCCTGGTTCCTCGGCCCGAATCTGACCCATACACAGTGTGCTACTTCCACATCTGGACCAATTCTGGCGCACACACAGAAAATCTTCCAGCTGTGAGTCAATAATGGAGGATAACAGCCAGACTCTGTCCAGATGTGGAAGCATATGGGCCAGACTCGGACCGAGGACCCAGACACATATTGACCTCTAGACCTCTTATGGTACAAAAACAACTTGTAGCAACCTGTATATAATAATCCATCATTCGGTTTGTTGTGTTTTCTAATGTTTGTGTGCAGCATCTCATCATGTTACAGGACAACCTGTGAGTTGAGGCTGATGTTTACGCTGCAGGAGTGTTTGTGGAAGTTTCTCCGGACATTTTTATTCTTAATTTCTCCCATGAAAACTGCTCCCCTGACGAATCAACTGCAACTGTCTAAATGCAAGCTGATATTGATCAGTGGAGAAAACACCAGGTAAAGCTCCAAAGTTTGGCGTCTAAATTTAAGTCAGGTTTTTGAAGTAAACAGGATTTATGAAGGATTATTAAATACTGATAACTTTAAAGTTGACTGATTGTACCTTTTGGAACTGGAAGCTAATATATACTGTATACTAGCTTCCAGTTTTGTTATATAGTTATTTAGTTGTTTTTACCATAAAGGACAAACCACATAGAGAAAGTGAGCACTGGACAAGCTTGTTTATGAATTACACATCATTTTTATTTCCTTAAGTCAAATACAGGAGTCTAGCACATGTCAGTGATGCGCCTCATGCTCATGAACCTGGTGCCGCTCATGCCCATGTCCCTGAAGCTCCTGTACTCTCCGGGCCTCAGGTACATCATCCTGCCTCTGAAGTGGGGCTGCTCGTACATCAGCCAGTGGCCGTCCATCACGTTGCAGGACATGCAGTCGGACATGCGGTAGCGCTCCATGATGTTGTCGCAGTCGTCCATCAGCTCATTCATCTGACCACCGAAGTTCTCCCTCTCGTAGATCCTCATCCTGAACTGGCCTCTGTGCTGTAATTCAATGCAGGGAAAATGTGAGTATCCCCACTAGCTACTCTAAAAATGGAGCAAGTCTAAATGTATAAAAATCAAAGGGGTGTAGAGATGAGGTCTCTTACATAGGGGATCATCCTGCAGGACCTGATGGTGTCAAACATCATGCCCATGCTCATCATGCGCTGCATGTCGTGGTACTCTCCCCTCCTCAGGAAGAACTGCATGCCCATGTAGTTGGGACGCTCGTAGACCATGAAGCAGCCGCTCTCCACCCTGCAGGACTGGCACCTGCTCAGGTAGGAGGACATGTCGGAGCAGTCGCTCATGCACTCATAGGAGCGGCCCTGGAAGTTCCTCTCCTCGTAGAAGATGATCTGAAAAAGAGAACACGGCAAAGATGATGATTTAAGAGTCAGATAGTGATCATATCATATTAGATTAATTTTGCTGTATAAAAACTAAAGTCAGTTAATAGTTAGAAGTTTTAAATATGTGAAAACATAAGTAAATATCTCTTTACCTTGCCCATGATGGTGGTTTAGGTTGTTTCCAGTGGATGGTTCAACTTGCTCTGCCTACTCCATGACTCCAGGCCCTTTTTATACAGAAACCCAGGGCCCATGATGTGTTGTTATTCAAATGTGCAAAGCTGATGAATTAGCAGTATGACTTTTGCTGAACAGGGGCCTATAAATGTGTAACAATGCTTTTCCGTCCATACATTTCTGGCAGCAGTCGACTGCATTGTCTATTATAAGCATAAGCTTTGTGTGCGCTCCATTCTCAGTCAGAAGGTTCTCCACATATGGTCTGACCGCCACTGGTGGAAAGAGCGCAAACGTCGGGCCACATCTCTGTCAAACCCATGAGGGACCCAGAACCTGTGCAAATATTCAGTTGCTATAAAGAATTAAATATACTGACTTTGTATGTTCGTATTTTCACAACAACATCCTCCATCCGTTGATATCAAATCCTGGAAATTAAAAGAGTCGTTTCATGTTCATCTAATGTAAATCGTTTAAAAGGGAAATTTAAATGAAATGAAAATGCATTAACATCAGCAAATGAGCAATAACCTGAACAACTGGAATGTTAATTTTGTAGGATTTATTAACTACACTACACCTTTTTTTCTAAATAATGTATTTTACTTGAAAACTTTTAATACATAATGTGAAAAGAATGAGGGGGGGGAAACTTTGTCGTTGTGCAGCTACACTGGCAGTAGTAATGAATAACACTAAACCTTATTGCTTATTTAAAAGCATTCACTAGTTTATTACTCTTTCTTATTGGTCTTAAAGAAACCTATCAGGAAAATAACAATATTTTAGCATAACAGGTGTCAATAATCAGTTATTAGGACGTGATGAAGTTGCCCTTATTTTTTATTACAGTTTTAATATGCGGAGGAGTTTAGCACATGGAGGACCCAGGGTGTCTGTATGAGGGGAGGAACAACTCAAATGATAAAATCTCTGTTGAATTATGTTCTAACAATTTACTGAGTAGTGTAACTGAATTGGTAAAGCTTGTTTTGGTAAGAACATTGATTCAGTGGGAAGTAATTGGTTAATTTAGCGCTGGTCAAATCAGGCCTGAAGGAGGCCAAGGTGACGACAGGCCTGGACAACGGCCCCTGAAGGCTGCGAGTTTCTTTTATGTGCGTTTTTTTAATTATACACAAATTATACAGTTTATCCACTTTGCTGAGGTGGAAAAGCTGCTTTATCAATAAAAAGAAAAATGCACCAAAATGCAACAGAAACTGGGAATAAATCATGACACACTGTTCATGAAGCCTGTGACTTAAACATCCACAGAAGCTTCTGCTGAACTGAAGAAAAACTAAATGCAGCGGCAGGTGAAAACGTCACGTCCGTTGTTCAGTGATGAGGAGACTGTAATGTTCGTCAAGTTAGTGGATGAAACAAACATCAATAAAATATTTCCCTCATGGTTTGACTTCGTTCAGGTTCAGACTTGATTGGCACCATTTTCCTCTGCGGTGGTTTAATGGCTACCAACCGGACAATTACGAGCAAGCTTTATCTTGACGTGCCAAATGTCTAATATTCACATAACAGTGATTTATTGAAATATGCATTAAATTGTTGTTGTTGTTGTTGTTGTTGTTGTTGTTTTCTTTTCTGGACATTGGTTTACATATGTATTTGAACATAAACCCGGCGAATCGGTGAACTGGTCGTCGTGTTCGCTCGTCTTTCACCACTAATCTCTGCTGTGTCAACACTGAAAGTTGTGTGACTAACACATGAATAGACATGCAGCTGGATTACCAGACTGGCCTGTGCACTTTAGTCTAAATGATGAAACACACCAATGCAAACTCTGAATGATGAAGGGGATGTTGAGGAACTTGTTAAACAGTTGATGTGTGTTTTTTTTTTTGTGGGAACATTCAGAGAGAAATTAGACAGAGGGTTGCCCACAGTAAATACTCGTTGTTGAAGTGTGTCAATCTGAGAGAAATGAACAAATTGTACCGTTATATATGGGACAATAATTTAAAAAACACCGTGGAGCTGCTGCTTGTGCCCCTTCTTAACATGTGCCAACAAATGCAACTGGTGGGTTTTTTTTGCGTGAGCTGAAAGCCGGTGAGGGATCATGCACCAGCAACTCTGCTTTGACATCTGCATGAAGGGGGGAGGGGAGCAGGGGGGTGGAAGCATTAACCTTTCCCAGAGAAGCTTCTCACTCAGCCAAGTGGAAAGAAAGTTGGGCGACGACGCGCAGCGCTGCAGTTCACAGGGAACTGCACATTCCAGATATGTAGGGAAGAAAAAAAAAGGAACCGAAAACGTATTTATTAGTACACCACGCAAGAGTGACTCCTTTATTTCTTCACTGTAATAACAATCTGAAATGTCTGATGTTAGTTTTCTTATCATTGTTTGATGCTGGTTTAACATCATAACTGTTCCCAAAACTACTGCCACAGGTAACTTTCTCTCTTCGTCTTTCCCCTTCGCTCAGTACGTCTCCCTCTGTTGATCCAGGTTCTGCTGTTCTGGCCGTGCAGAGCTGGCAGAGGGTAAATAACGTATTCAATAAAGTTTATTGTCATTATCAGTCGAATATAACTTCTCATTTTATAATAGTAAAAATTTGACTGGTATCAAAACCATTCAGTAAAGAGCAAACAGGGACTTCGTGATGGCCCTTGATCTTGATTTGGATCGTCTGTGCCAAGACTTGATATACAAGCAAAACAAAAACAATATCTCATCTTCACTTTAAAATACAAGAACATAAGTTAAACGTGAATAAACCCAATACTTTTATTTTGAGGTGGAGGAAGTGATTATTATGTTTTTAAATACCAGTAAATTACGGGAGCAGCAATGGAGCCACAGGAAATGGTGCTACTCATGTAAGGATTTATAGTAGTATAAAGTATGTAATTTTATAATAAGGTTATAATAAATGATTGTAATGATTTGTGGTTTATATTCGACAGAGCACACGGAGGAACATAAGACAAAACAAGTATCACAGATAACATATCAGTTGCCCAATTGATGGGTAGTTTATTTGCTTTGGACCAACCACAGTACAGTTATGGCTGCTTGCCCCTTTTGTTACCTATAGTTCAGGAGTAAACAATAATTTAAATGTTCTTTTTACCCTTTTGTTCACAATATTTACAGAGTAAGTACAACATGTGCAAACCACACTGTCGAAGTGTTAGCAGCCCTTTCAAAGCTACACACAACAAAATCAAACTTTTCAATGCCTTTCAATGCCAATACTTTACAAATCAATGAAAACACATTCACAAAGAAGGTTAAAAATTCAACATCTTTAATAAACAAAGTGTTTGATATTTACAGCAAGGTTTCGCTCAATGGCTAAAATTCGGTGACCCTCCTGAAGGAGCCGACGATGGCGCAGGTGGCGCACCAGTCGCGGTACCTCCTGTACTCCCCTGGTCTCAGGAAGTACTGTCTGCCTCGGTAGTTGGGGTACTCGTAGAAGATCCAGTAGCCATTCATAACATTACAGGAGTAGACGTGGCGGTGATGGAAACGGTCAGACACACAGGTACAGTCGTCCATGAACTCCATCATGTGACCACTGAAGTCGGGTTTCTCGTAGATACGCAATCTGTAGGAGCCTCGATACTGTGGAACCGAAGGAAAGATGAATGATGAGTTCAGGCTTGTGACACAGATCGATGCACAAAGGTCAGTTTGTGAAATGAACATTAACCCACTTACCACTGGGATCATCCGGCACGAGCGGATACAGCTACTGAAGCCCATCCATCTCTGGTAGTCGGGGTACTCTCCCCTCCTCATGAAGTACTGGTGGCCCATGAAGTTGGGTCGTTCATAGATCATGAAGCAGCCGCTCTCCACCCTGATGGAGTTGCATCGGCTGAAGTACGAGTGAAGGTCCGTGCAGTCATTGCTGCACTCATAGCTCCGACCCTGGAAGTTCTTGTCCTCGTAAAAGATAATCTGGGGGAAGGAAAATAAAGGTACAAGCGTCACGAGCTGTCGGTTGAGTTCGCCGAACTACCCGAGAATACGAGTTCAGCTCGACATAAAACATACTGAGAGCAAAAGTGACAACCTTTTTAATCTGAGCAGAGAGGAAAAACAGTACTTACCTTGCCCATGGTCTCCGTTGGAGAGATTCCCCATGTTTTCAGGGCTTTTTATACTACCTCTTGACAAACAAAGTATTGTTATTCAAATTCTCTCATAGTTATAATTGAAGGCTACTGGCACATGTTTACCTTTTTGTTGGAGCACAACATTGGGTCAGAAATATGGATTTGTATTTGAAAAAAAAGGATAAATAATTAACTTGGTTTGGTGTTTTGACATGCGTGGACAAAGGAAAAGACTAGTATGGTATCCACACATCCAGTGGACAATGGCTGCAGAACAATATGGAACAGCCCTTTCGCATTAAATATGTTGCGTAACAGAGCAGGAAGCCATTCACTTTCTCTACTGCGCTACCTGAGCAACCCCACTGTATGCAAATAAGTAAGTGTATACTGCGCTGCTGTGCCGTATGCTACACTGGACATAAAGATTTTATTAGGATTTGAACAGCGTGACAATGCTCTGTATGTTACCTGTATGTGTGTGGGATGCTTATGTCAACTTTTATTTCACTTACTAACTCTTCGCCCTCAGCTTCAGGTGTGTAAGTATCTGACAGTTTTGACTCAGTGGACTACAATTCCCTTGATGATACGCAGCCATATTTGACTCTTTCAAGCATCCCCCCCCTTTATAAATACACCGCGACATTAGCATGCTGTCCCAATATTGGGTGCAGATATATCACATAATGACTATTATTTTTATTTCATGACATCACTGTCCACCACAGGTTGTGTAACGTGTCTCTTTAATTATGATTAATTATTCATAGATATCAATCCTGGAAAATATTTTACACGGTGTCATTGTAAGTGTTTGGTGGTATGGTGCCATACAGATGAACTAACATAACTACATATATAGAAAACATATCAACTTGATGATTTCTGATATTATCAGAAGGCCGATGAGCAGTGGTAGTTTATGTAGCAAATTCATTTTTATTACAAAGCAATTTTTCCTGGATATTATCATATGCCTGTTTGCGTAAAATCCTTAAAATGTAAATGTATATTTATGTTACAGTGTTAATAATGTTTGATATCAATGTAATCAATGTTAATATTATCTAGTGACATAAAACAACTATAAAAGACTATAGTACTTTTGTTGATAATGAGAAATACTTGAAACAAAGAAGCTTGGGCTGCAGACACGGGACACTTTTATCTCTGGTGTATAAAAAGCACATTTAGTGGGAAATTTGGATGATTTTTGCCAAAAAATATTGTCTTTTAACTATTATACAAAGATTATTTTCTAAATATTAAGACAACCATGAACAGAACATGTACAGTTCCCATAATTTATAGGTGTATTTTAGGATATATTAAAGTGTTCTAGCTACAGTCGTCATCGTCAATCAATTTCAATTTATTTGTATCATTTCATAATTTTTGATTTGGTAAAAACTATATGAATTTCATGCTCCACTGCTGTTTGTTATATATCACCCACATCCTGCTTTACTAGATCCATCCTGATCTTTTACTGTTTACTTCATATTCTGTGATTTTACTGTTGGATCTGTCCAGAATCACTTCTTCCTGTCTCACACTCTCCACGCTGCACTTCCTCTCTCTATGTAGGTTTTTATTTTATTTTATGTGTAACAATAATCATATGGATGAACTTCACCACCGTGGAAATCAGCTAATCCCATCAGGGGCACAAACTGGGAGAGGGCAACTCTTGTATTGTTTGGTGAGGTATGTCTAGGCGTGGAGAGGATTAAGTTCACCAGAAGCTATGATAGATGCATTCTTTAGTTTCGCCCTCAGACAGTAGATATGTTCTGTACTCAAACTGAAAGAAGAAATATCTGCACCTGCACTTTCAAAATTGTGACTCTAGTAACTAGTTATTTCTCATGACCAATTGAGAGGCAGCAAACCACAGCTGAGAACTGGCAAATACACACAAAATAAGACATTCATGTTTTATGAAGCGGTTCAAGTTTATTGGGAAACTCAGGGAAAGATGCATTTAAACGAAGCTTCACTTCAGTTGAGGTCGGTGATTTTTCTGAGGGAACCGACTCTCGGGCTGACGCCTCCCCAGTCGCTGTATCTCCTGTACTCTCCGGGCCTCAGGTAGTACACTCTGCCCTTGTAGTTGGGCTGGTCATACAGCAGCCAGTGGCCGTCCATCACGTTGCAGGAGTTGAAGTCAGACATGCTGAGCTGGTCCTGGACGTTGGGACAGTCGTCGTCTAGCTCGTGCATCTGGCCAGACATGTCGGAGCGTTCGTACAGCCTCATCTTGTAGGAGCCTTGGTGCTGGCACAGGATGGAAAACTCTGTTACTGTCTACAGTACAATAATACATCCCATTGATGTCCAGAGATTTTCTTTGTTGTTTTTAAGCCTCTAAGTGGTCACAAACTTTACCACTGGTACTTTCAACTCTTGATTTACAAAGAACAAGCATTTAACATTGTAAAAAGCGACACTTTTCTATTATTTATGGATATTGTCGTAAAAATCTTCAAAGAAAATCTGAAAGCAGGTCTTCATGACCTACCTGGGGGATCATACGACAAGATCTGACACAGTCGCTGATGCCAATCAGACGCTGGTTGTCAGAGTACTCTCCTCTCCTCAGGTAGTACTGGTTGCCCATGTAGTTGGGCCTCTCATAGACCATGAAGCAGCCGCTCTCCACCCTGATGGAGTTGCATCTGTTTAAGAAGGAGTGAAGGTCAGCGCAGTCGCTGCTGCACTCGTGAGAGCGCCCTTGGAAGTTTCTGTCCTCGTAAAATATGATCTGCGAAAAGCAATCGTCACAAACGCACACAGAAGGATGGTTTCTGATTTTAATACGGTCAAGCAGTGATACAGAAAAACTCCTATAAAATAAAATTATTCAGTAAAATACAGGTGTGTGTAAAGTGTGGGTAAAACCATAACGATTTTCTTTACCTTTCCCATGGTTGTTGGCATCAGACTGTTTTAGCGGTCAATGCTGTCCCTGAGCCAAGCCACTGTGCTTTATAAAAAAAAAGAAAGAAAAGGCAGCTGTGTGATTGCACAGCATAAAGTATTGTCATTCAAATACATCCCTCACAGTGATGATGGATCAGGGGTTGGGAGGGGTGTGTGTGTGTGTGTGTGTGTGTGTGTGTGTGTGTGTGTGTGTGGTTGGGAAAAATCTGTTTATTGACTCTTGATGTGCGATGAGTTATTGTTCTTTTCCTCCATGTTCATCACAATTTCCTCCCGAATATGCCACCGTACAATAGACCGACGGAGGGAGTACTGCACAGCATCAGCAAGATTAAATTGATATTTAACAGGAGCTACACACGATAATCTGCACAATCTATCGGCTAAAGAGATAATTACAGAATATATATATATATATATAAAAAAATCTGGAACAGAAATAATTCCTGAGGTAGAACAACATGTTGAATATTACTTCATATGAAGGACATAAATCTTCCACTCATCATAGATCAGATATAATCATACTTATATATTCCTAAAGTCCTAACGGTTACAGTATCCACAACTATGGAGACTCCATTTTGCAATTGCTTTATTACGATGGTGAGTGTGATCAAGAACAGGTCCAAAAGTGTTTTGTTGTTGTTTGTGCTTTTGGTGTTTGGTGGGTGCTTTGCAATGAGTCCATCCATGACGCTTTGTCTTAATCCTTGAAGTCAAATGACCAAATATTACCAAGTGACTGAGCCACAGGTATAGTATTTTGTACTTTCTACAGTCTTGTAGGCCACTATCTGAGCATGAGGTCTTTCCAAAAACCTCCATGCAGCTGTGGGATCCTCCAAAACAGATCAATAGTCCGTGATGCGCCTGATGGAGCCGACCCTGGCGCTCCTGCCGCCCCACTCGCTGAACCTCTTGTACTCTCCGGGCCTTATCAGGTACATCCTGCCCCGGTAGTTTGGGTGCTCGTAGAAGAGCCAGTTGCCGTTGGTGACGTTGCAGGAGAAGATGTCGTTTATGTGGAAACGGTCCAAGACGCTGGGGCAGTCGTCCGCCAGGTCCATCATCTGGCCCCCGAACTCGATTCGCTCATACAGGCGCATGCTGAACGAGCCGGGCCCCTGCTTTTGGAAAGGGAGAAAGGAATTATTTAACAAACCAATCAATCAAACTTTATTTGTGCAAGTCAACGTGCTCTGCAGATGACAAGCTGATAGTAGGATAGTCCAAATGGACTGATGAACAAATAAAAAACGTGTATGTTACAATACACATTGTAGTAATGATTTTATAATGGACATACATACTATATATAATTAGATATATAAATATCTAACTACGCAAAGGAATTGATCATCTCAATGGATGGTAATGTTGGACAGTTGGTCGATCACTTTGGCTCAGACTGATTGGACGGATGGTTCAGACATTCATGGTTCCCAGAGGATGAATCCTGATGACTTTGAGGATCCCCTGACTTTTTCGTCTAGCGCCACCGTGAGGTTGACTTTTGTGGGTTTGAGTGAAATGTCTCGACAATTGTTGGATGGATTGCGATGAACTTTGGTACAAACAAAGTTCATGTTCCCCTCAAGATGAATCATCATTATTCCTGAAAAAACTAATGACCTTCCCATCAGCTTCAGCTTGAACTCTGCCTTTACTGCTAATTAGCTAATCTTAGCATGCTAACACGCTAAATTACACTGATGAACATGTATGATATTGTACCTGTTTAGCTGATATCAGTGCAATAGCATCGTCCTTGTGACTATGTTAGTATGCTAACGTTAGCATTTAACTCAAATCACCATTGTGCCAACCTCATGGAGACACAAGCATGGTCGTCGACTTTGTAGTCGTTAGTCTGAAGTCACAAATACCTACACGTTCTACGTCTTTAGCGCAAAATTTTTTAATTATTTTTGTGCCAAAAATAACCAACTTTTAATGTTTCCCGCAACAAGTTTATTCTTAAGATATTTTAGAAAAACACCTGACACTTAAACTCCAGTTAGTAGCTCTTTAAGTTGAAATGGCAGCATGAACTTGAAATACAGCATATGGCACTAAATTAATTGATTATTGTTCTGGTCGGAGAAGGAAATCTCCAGCGCATCAACAATAACATGAAATATGGTAATAACCAATAAGAGAGACATTCTCTCAATACATTATCAAACTAATGTATCTAACAACAATAACAGTAGCTCACCATGGGGATGAGGCGACAGGAGCTGACGGAGTCATCGATACCCGTCCACTGATGGAAGTCAGGATACTCCCCCCTCCTCAGGTAGTACTGGTTGCCGGTGTAGTTGGGTTTCTCGTAGATCATGAAGCTGCCGCTCTCCACCTTGACGGAGCAGCAGCGACTGAGGAGGCACATCAGGTCCGCACAGTCGCTGCTGCATTCAAGATGGCGCCCAGAGAAGTTCTTGTCCTCATAGAAGATTATCTAGACATGGAAATTGATTTTTAAATTTTTCTTTTTATAATACTGACCAACCAGTTCCCTACAAATAAATACACAGTCCATTTTTCTGCTTAATTGACCAATTCAATCCACTTCCTCTTCTTATGATTTAAAGATTTAACCACTGACTCTCAGTAAAGCTCAAGATTTCAAAAGAAAAACCTGGATGCCTGTTTGCACTTTGTTTGCTTCACAATAAAAGCGTTTTCCCCCATCTCATATCAACATGAACAGCGTGCAGCATGGGAGCTGTGATGTTTACCTTCCCCATGTTGGCCGGTTTGCCTGCCCTGTGTGATCCATCCAGCTCTTTGAAGACTCCCACCTGTCACATATATAGTGAATGTAAAATGCAGACTCTGCATGTGTCATTCATATTGTAATGGCCAGGAATCTTTGGCGTTTGTGCCGCAGTGCTGTCCTGAAGAGATGTGTAGGAGTGATGTTTGAGCAGGTGAGAGTCGACAGGTTGTGGTTGGGGTCGGTCTTGTGTCGTGGCAGGAGGATTTTGTAGGATTATGTCGTCACTGAATGGCTGGTGTTTTTCTATTACATCTAAAATGATGCCAAGGTCTTTTATTATCTAGTTCCTGCTGTCATCAAAGCTTTCCCATATGGATGATTTCTGACATCAGTGGAGTTCCCGGTATCATATTTTTTTCACTTCTACCTATTTAACTGTTTTAACAATTTCCAAAGTTCAGTTTTACTTTACAGTATGTCACATTTGTGGTCTCTGGTCTGAACTATGCTTTTGTTTTTACTGTGACGTCTTGTAAAATTTCATTTTCTTATCCCAAGATAATGATGTTTTTAGTCGCACAGAAACTACAGAAATGTAGACGTTACCTCATACACTCTTTGTATTCTGTGTTTGAAGATATAATATTGTCAAACTGAAACTCTCTGTTTTACAGTGTAGTACAGCCTCTTTTTGTCAACAAGTTAGTTTGAACTTTTGCTATCAGTAATTTCAATCTTGACCACTGCCCTCTGCTGGAGATGTATTTTTTTTGTCCAAATAAATACACAGTATTTACACACTGCTAAAAAAACAAAAACACTTTGAGTGTTTAAATCGCTATTTTTAATTTGTAGAACACTACATATTTTTTGCTTTTTGTTAACCTAAAACAAATTAAAAGGAGGAGAAAAAAAATCTCATCCGAAGTCCAATAAGTCACAGTTACGGTGCTTTCACTCATATCACATGATCTTCATCAGCAGATGCATTTTGCAGATGTCAAGGAGATGTTGAAGTTCAAATTTCAAATTCTTCCGAATGCTTTAAATGTCATCTTTTCAGGCAACAGGGACGAACTTAAAGTTCACTCTTGACTTAAGAAACACGATTCCAAACTCCACCTGCACATGAAGATCATGCGATGTGATCAAAAGCACCAGAACAGCGACTAAATGGAACTAAACCTCTAAGAGTAGATTGAGTGAAAAGTGGAAAAGCAGAAAGCCTTTCCTGCAGATCTACAATAGATAACGCTTGAGTCTCGGTGTGGTAAGTGTCAGTGCTTGCAGTATTTTATTCAGTCCTTGGATGAGAGTCAGGATGTCAGGCCAAGACCCCGTCACATCCTGCTGGGGAAACATGCCCTCCAAACGCAGAGAGCAAGAACAAAACTGAATACACGTGAGCACTGACGCCATTTTATTCAGCGTGTGAAACAAGGCAAAGAGCAGACACTTCACAAGAACCATTCTTCTGTCTTTAGAGATTCATGAGGCGCCTGATGGAGCTGATCCTGGAGCTGTTGCCGCTCCACTCGCTGAAGCTCCTGTACTGGCCGGGCCTCAGGTAGTAGTGACGTCCCCTGTAGTGGGGGTGCTCGTACAGCAGCCAGTGGCCCTCCATCACGTTGCAGGAGTTGAAGTTGGACATACGGAAACGGTCCATGAGGTTGGGGCAGTCGTTCGTCAGCTCCATCATCTCACCTCTCATGTCGAAATGCTCGTACAGCCTCAACTTGAAGTTGCCACTGTGCTGAATAGGAAGGAAGCAGGAGGGTAGATCAGTATCACATCCCATTAAAAGTCAAATGTTCAAACGTTTTCACAGGTCACTCAGAATTACAAATCTTAATGTCAAAGATCTTAAAGAAGTAGATTGACATTTTGGCAAACAGCTTATTTGCTTTGTCAAGAGTTAGCTGAGAAGATTGATACTACACATGCCTGTACACTAAATATGAAGCTACAATGTAAGTAGCTAGTTAGCTTAGCTTAGCATAAAGACTGAAAACAGTGAAAAATAGCTAGCCTGGCTCTTTCCAAAGGGAACAAATTCCACCTGCAAGCACCTGTAACCTCCCGGAGTCTTCACTGGTTGCCTGACAACTCATCCCAACCTAAAAATATTTGGCCACAAAACCCCTCATAAAATGGGTAATTGGCATTATTACACTTTGGTTTTTGAGCATATTAAATGAACAAGATTTAATGTGTCATTTAGTGAGCTTTAGAGGTGCTGATACACACAATTTGTTCTCCCTAGACAGAGCCAGGCTAACTGCTTTCCCCTGTTTCCAGTCTTTCTGCTAAGCTAAGTGGCGACTAACAGCTAATCTAACTCTAGACTAGAAAGTGAAAAACCGTATTAACTCTTACTTTACAACAATATCTATTAATACAAATTGGATTAAGCCAACTCTGTGATGAAACTTAAACTCATGTTTTAGCAAATAAAAAAAACTTATTGGTGGAGTTACAAAACAGAACTATAGGCTACTGTATGTTACACATTTTTTGCTTAGTAGGTACATTAAAAAATCCAAGTAGACACATGATGTTTTTCTATTACAACAGCAGCTACAAAACTGTTTCTGATTATTTAAAAAATCTGTTTTATGAGAGAAAAAGGTCTGAACATGAACTCAAGAGCCATCAAATTGCTTAATGTCACACTTTGGTAAAACCTTAAAAAAGTTTATAACACATTATAATGTAGATGTAAGCAGATATAAGTGTTTACAAACAACTATAACTCCGGGATATTACATGTTTGTATGTTGCTCATAAATATTAAATATGGGGACTAAATGATAAGTGTTACCGTAAACCGCTTAGTTGTTAATTCAAAGGCAGATCAACATTTACAGTTTAATTTTAGTCTGTTTATGGTCAAATGCAGCTGTTTTACACTTTGGGGTTATTTTACCTTCAGTGCCTAATATGAGAAGTTTAAGTTAAGGTTTCTGTTCACTAATATGAAGATGTTTGTCCAACATTATTTGGATTATATTGACAAAAATCAAAGAGAACTAGTATGTTATGTTACAAAAGGGTCTTACCATGGGGATCATACGACAGGACCTGACACAGTCATTCATGCCGCTCATGCCCAGGTAGTCGGAGTAATCTCCCCTCTTCATGAAGTACTGGTTTCCCGTGTAGCTGGGACGGTCGTAGATCACGAACATGCCGCTCTCCACCCTGATGGAGCGGCAGCGGTCAAACATGGAGTGCAGGTCGGCGCAGTCACTCATGCACTCATAGTGACGGCCTCCAAAGTTCCTGTCCTCGTAGAAGATGATCTGACGGAGCAGAGGAAGGGAAACATGTCACATTCAACACAATGGTCCACAAAGAAGAACATAATGCGCTCTTGTTGGAAATTGTAGAACTGGACACAAACCTTTCCCATTTTGACTGCTGCTGTTGGTCAAACCGCTTCCTGTGTTTTTTTTAACCACTAAAAAGTGAGCTCCATCTTTATATACATTACCCTGTGGGAGCAGGTGCAGCCACGTGTGTTGTTATTCAAATGAGGCCTGGTGTCAGCAGAGACTCTACAGGAGTCTTCCTACTCCTGTTTGTCACGTCCTGTGTCGGGGGTTAACAGACAGAGCACAGCTTCCAGCAACAGCCACAGCACAGCCGGGCGCTGGAACAGTCACTGCTGAGCTCTCCCGCCATCTTGTGTTTGTTTTAAAGGGACAATTCCCTCTATTCACACCACGTGTAAGAAACTGGCCATATTAAGTAAACATGGGTGGATAGATCTTTGAATAAATAACTATAAATAATAGTTTCTGAGTTTGTTCTGTAGTGCAACTAGCTGCAGATTAATGTTGTGTTTAGTAGCACCAATATCTCTACTGATGTTTTAATGTCGGAGAATATGAATCTCATTAACTGTTTCTTTGATAAATGTATAAAATTAACAACAGATACTCACATCTGAGATACTAAAGTGGCTCCTATGTGTGGTAGCGTCCAACTGCATTAGTGTGGACTCATTCATGTGGAAGTAATTATAAAGCATGGGAAACAGTCATTTAAAGGAAAATAATGTCAAATATTCATGCTGTTTTGTCCAAAATGGCCTTTTTTTATGAGCCAGTCAAAACCAAAATATTTATTCACAAGCACAGAGAAAATAGTTTACAATAGATCCATTTATTTGTTTATTTAAAACAATATCATGTCGATATCTTGGGTCAATCTTTTTTCAGCACAGCCCGATCAGACATCTCATTTATTGAGAGACAGAGTATCTCACATGATTATTGTCCAGAGATAGAAGTTTATTAGAGAAGCGGGGGTAAAATGTCTGTTGTGTGCTGTGAGGGGGGAAGGGGGGGGCTGGGGCAGGGGGGGGGGGGGTTTCTAATGAAACTGAAAATGTTAAAATACGATCAAAAAACAAAAATCAAGTGAGATTCCAGATTAAAACTCTGTGATTCTGCGGAAGGAGCCGGTGGTGGCGCAGGTGGCCCCCCAGTCACTGAACTTGCGGTACTCCCCGGGCCTCATGAAGTACTGGCGGCCGCGGTAGTTGGGGTGCTCGTACAGGGTCCAGTAGCCGTCCATGACGTTGCAGGAGTAGATGTCGCGGCTGCGGAAGTGATCCTGCACCGACTCGCAGTCATCGCTGAACTCCATCATCTGGCCCTGGAAGTTGGGGCGCTCGTAGATGCGCATGCGGTAGGGGCCCTCGCTGGTCTGGAGTCAAATACAGAATAAGGAGAGCGTCAGTGCAAAGGGTTCGTCTTCTACAGATGTTTCATTGAGTCTACAAAGGATCATTTTCCTAACATTAAAGTTTAGATGTAGAATTTCAGTTGAAACTTAAACATAAATCATATTTTTTTTTCCAGTTTTTAAATCTAGAAAAGAATCTTATTGTAAATAAACTCCCTTATCTCAAGTTAAATCCATCTAATTCAGCATTCTGTGGAAGTGAAACCATTTTAACAATATATTTATTATTCTTTGCCTCACAACATCACACATCTAGACACTTTTCCATCATCTATCAACTCCACACACTTCACAAATAAACAGCAGATATTCACTCACATAAGAGAAAGTACGGCAGGAGCGGATGGTGTCGTTGTAGCCCATCCAGCGCTGGTAGTCTGGGTACTCCCCCCTGGTCAGGACGTACTGGTAGCCGGTGTAGTTGGGCTTCTCGTACAGCACCCAGCAGCCGCTCTCTACCTTGATGGAGTTGCAGCGGCTGAAGTGGGGGTGCATGTCAGGACAGTCGGTGTCGCACTCATAGGAGCGACCCTGGTAGTTCCTGTCCTCATAAAATATGATCTGTGTCCAGGAGAGAAGAAGAAGAAGTTAAAGCTCAGGTTGATCATCAAAGTTCAGCAACTACTAATACATTTATTTTTAGTTTTTTTTAGTTTATTTGATAATGACAGTGTAAGTCAACATAGTTTCAAAACAAAGTACAAAGAGTTTAAAGCTGTTGCTAATTCTTTATTATATGGTATCTTATATAAAAGTGGCACCTGCTTTGGCATGAACATCATTTTATCTGAATAAACAGTTGAATTATTGCAGCATTAATCATCTCCCTGCTGTATCAACTAGAAATGATGTAAATGACAGACTTAAAGTGTCAATGTTTTTGTTTTATATTTTATATTTGTTTTATATTCTCCTACATGTTGAATTACAGCAACTCTGTAAAGCTCCTTTCTTTTCCAGGGAGATCTGAAAATTAGAGTTTACATTCATTTCTGGTTAAAACGATAAACTTTTTACCCACATTTAAACCATTACAAACACACACGACAGATAACTCTCCTACCTTACTACTCATCCTGCAAACAGTGCTGGAGCCGGTCACCTACGGAGGGAAAATGGTGGTCTCACAAAGCGGGACCGGAGCCCCGCTATATAAACCTCAATCAAAGGGTTAGTAGATCCCACTTTAGCTGTTTTTTCAAAGAGCGGGGATTTAATGCGCTGGCATCGCTGCCAAAAGTCTTGATCCTGGGCATACAGCAAAAACCCCTGAATCATCAACGCAAAAAGTCCTAGCAGGCAAATTACTGACCTGCTGTGCCCTCTTTTATTGATATGGACACGTTTTATCCACTAATCCATCATCAGGTGGATTAAAGTTTCCACGCAGAATGTCAGAGGTCATCACAAAACTACACAGCCTTTAACTATGTGGTGAATCTGAGCCAACTGTCACTGAAAATCCTGCAAAGCTTCAGAGAAAATGTGAATAAATATCCCACACAGAAATGTAACATGTGACATGTGTCCCTATATAAAGAGTGATTATTATCACATACTTACATCCTCTGGATATATGAGGCTATAAGTTTATAACATATATTAAATACCCACAGTAAAAATGTATATATGTACAAATATTAAACATATCAATGTGATTTTATCATAAAACAATGATGTTTTAACATTATATATTTTATCTATTTATGCAAGTTTATTATAACAACATACATGTTAAATAATCTATTAGTTTATATGTGTAGATAGATAGATAGATAGATAGATAGATAGATAGATAGATAGATAGATAGATAGATAGATAGATAGATAGATAGATAGATAGATAGATAGATTGATAGATAGATAGATAAATAGATAGATAGATAAATAGATAGATAGATACTTTATTTATCCCCTAGGGGAAATTCATGATGTATATATATATCTATGTATATATAGATATATATGTCTATATATGACATTTTTCCAATTTCTATTGGGTTACATATAAAATAAAAATATGTATACATATATGGAAATGTAATATATGTACATATATTACATTTGCGTATGGGTTGTTAGTGATGCCACTGAATGCATCATCATTAATCAATCGTAAAAAAAAATTGTACAACAGGTTATCAGCCACAGTCAGCTTTATTTTAATGTCATTAGTCGTCGTCAGCTGCTTCTAGATACTAAAAACCTCAATCACAGTTGATCAGTGTGACAGAATAAAGCTAAAGTAACGACAGCAGAGCTGGGACACTGTAAGAGACTAAAGTCTGAGGGCGACTTCAGTCCTGCAGAGACTCCTGTGAACCGTCGTAGTGCTCAGCTCCTTCCTCCCGTCGGTCACTGCTGTCCTGGGGAGTCACACACAGAGAGGGGGAGGGTGGGGGGGTGGTGGTGGTGTGGTGGGTGGGGTGTGGTCAGATGAAGATCATGTCTGTTTACACCCACAGGGGGGCAGCAGAGGCTTCTCACGTGTTTTAAACCAAGAAAACTCTCTTTTTCTACAACAAACGTGTTGAAGTTGTTCAGTTTTGCTCTTAAATCTTCTGGGTTGAATATAATGACAGATAAAGTGGATACTCACACTGAGGAAGGAGTGAGACGAGGAGGAGGAGGAGGAGGAGGAGGAGGAGGAGGATGAAGGTTGCACTGACACTTGTCCAGGCGGAGCGCTCGCCTTCGCCCTCTCAGACAGCCATCTTTTCAACTTTTGATCTGTAAGAGGTTTTATTGAAGACAGGTGTTAGTGAGTGTTTCCCAGCCTGAGCTTTGGGAGAACCTCATCTTGGTTTTATGGTTTTAATTTAAGTTTGAGCTTTTGGATTTTTATGTTTGGACATTTGTTTCATTTGCTGTTTTATTTTGTATTGTTCCCCTTGTGTGTCTTGTGATTATTTTACTTCCTGTGTTTGTCCTGTTTCCCTCCTTGTAGATCACCTGACCCGCCCTGACGTGTTTCACCTGTGTTTTACCCTTGTGTATTTAAGTCTCTGTCTTCCTCTTCGTCTCTGTCAGTTCGTCATGACTCTCCTGTTTCTTCTCCGTTTGGATATTAGAAGTTTCCTCGTGTCTTCTGCTCCACTGTTTCCTGTCTCTAGCGGTTCTCCTTGTGTTTCTGTTTTTGGACTTTGTTTTTTTTCCAGCCTGGATTCATTTCTAATGTAAGACTTTATACTTCTGGTTGTTTAATGAATCACCTTTTTTCCACATACTCCCTTGGATTGTCTGCACTTGGTGTCAGCCACAGCGTTAGTTAATTCCAGATAACTATATTTAATATTGATGTACACTTACTGTGCTTCTTGGAGTGGTGCACGGCCTTGTAAGAGCCGAGCATGGCGAACGGATGGTAGGACAGAGTGAAGGGGTAGACGATCGCAGCCTGGGGTTAAAAGCAAAATATGAAATTAACTTTTTCTACGTCACTAAAACTATATAATGAAGAAGATGGAGAAAGTGTGGCAGCCACTTCCCCATCTGTTTAGACTTTAATCAGACACACAGTATCTGTGTGAAGCGGTCGCCATGGACGCTGACTGTACCTTGGATTGCTGGTTGGGGTATGAAGCTGCTGGTTTACACCTGTACAGAGCCAAGATTTCCTCCACTGGCAGGTTGTTCTGAAGCAGGGAAATGAAGGTTTAGGAATCAGCACCTCTCTGTCTGAGTTAGGGCAGAAATTATTATAGAGGTACCCTGTTTTTTTTTTTTTTTTTAATGCCTAAACTCTCTACTCCTGTCAAGTTCCTCTTCCTTCTGTTTCTTTTCAGACACAATTCAGTCATTTTCTCACATTTAAACCCAAACTAGATGCATCCTCGCAGGATTTAGATCTTAAAATGCTTCAATAGGTAAAAAATAAATGAAAGAAAAGGAAAATAAACACATGGGAGAGTTAAACAGCCAAGTCTATACCCATATATAGAGCCTCCCTCCTGGGCCTGTTTCCTATTTTAAGGTATTTAAATTCAGTGGGACGTCAATATTTAATTAAAGATGCGTTCATGTAGAAATTACACTTACCATAATAATCCCTGCAAACGACGACAGGATCATGGCCTCCCGCTCTAAGCGATTAGGGTACTGGGCACTTCCTAAGCTGCACGTTGCTCCACTGTGAGAGAGAGGGAATAAAATTTATTACTAGACAGATTCAGCTTCTTGGAAACGGTGCGAGTGAAAAGACTCGAGGCGAGAATCTTATTTCACCTGCCACTAGCTGAACGAGACAGCTCATCGTCTTTTACCTTTGAGCTCCTCTCAACTTCACATTTTGATTTTATTTTGCTCTTACATAAGCCACTGATGACAGGAAAAGCAGTAAAGCAGAAATGACTCATTATACATTTTGAAACCGATCAGAAAAATGGCCAATCACATTTATTAAGCAGGACGAGGGTGTGTCCTCACTCTGGCTCAGTCTCAGCTGCTCTGTCCTGATGAATGTCACATTTTCACACATAAGAAAAAACATGTAAAAGGGATCATTTAAACCGTCCACAGTCAATGTCCTCACTTCCACCTCGCTGTGACTAAATATAACGATTTCTCTGTCAAGTGCAGTTTGACCTCTTACATTTTTTATGTCCACTTGTTTCCCACGCTGTACAACAGTATTAAATATTCTGCTTGCTCCAAAACAGGTTACGTGATGCTCACGCTCACATTCAGAGTCAGTCAGAATACTTTATTGATTCCAGGGGGAGATTAGGTTAATGCTGCTCCCTCAGCAAAGAAAAGAGAATAGGAAGTAGTTTACACAGGTGAAGATAAAAGATTTTTAAAAAATGTTAAAATAATAAAAAGAAAAAAAACTTGCTATAATATGTAAATAAAAAATAGAAATATGTAAGGCTGTGTGCATGAAGTGTCAGAATTGCTCAGTTTGTATAATTTAAAGTATAAATAAATAATGATGTGATGTCAGACACCCTGAGCGTGACTATGACTGCAGCATTGCATTAATAGAAAATATTCTACATGTCTTGTGCAGCTTGATGAAAACATTTCTGCTGAATTCATCTGGATGCATTTGGAAGCTTTGGACGTTCTGACTGCGGCTTTGAAGACCGACCGCCTGGCTGCACGTGTGAAGAAGCCTCCACCAGCAGGTCAGGGCTTTTGACATAAACTGATAAAAAAAAAAAAGTTTCAAAATAATAATAATAACTTTAACCTGCAGCTGTACGTTTGGTTTTCAGTCTGTAGAAACAAACAGCAGCTTACATGATGTCGCTGTCGAGAACGTCCCGCCCTTCTTCCTTGTCCAACCACCAAAGGGCGACACTGATTGCAAGGTCATAGTGAGCCTGTAACATGCACACGGATAAAACACACACTGCAGCAGACTGAGGAAGAACGACAGCTGCTGTGGTAACCAACATGGAGTCACAGCGAGCCGCTGTATCTAATGTGGAGTTTTTACCAGGTCGTCCAGCATGGTGGACGTCCCCTTCCCCTTTGGATCAAATGAATTTTCTCTGAGTTTCTGCCCAATGTAATCACCACTGTTCAGATTGAGGAAAAACAATGAATCAGTTGCCGTTTTAAAACTTGATTTATTTTGTGCTTTTCAACAGTCTCGGGCTTATTCTAATGTCCACTCACATAAGAGCCTCAACGTCTCGTTTCAGCTGCCTCGCCCCCATGTTCTGAACAAACTCCTTTCATGTGAGACCCCTGCAAAGACAACAGGAAATGATTGAAACTCAAACCCTTCTATACTCCTACATATTAGAAATTAAGTGGAAATCAGCTGATGTGTTGGCGGTAGTGAAAGCTAGCTTGCATAACATTGTTCACCTCAAAGTATGGGGTTAATTGGCCGCTGCGTGTGCGGTGCTTTGAAGCCAGGAAATGAAACTGACACCTCGTTGGGACCACACACAGAGAGATACCAGCAAATGCAGTGAGATCCAGTCAGTCTGGTAAATCTTAAAAACACGTTCCCTGTCAGTAACAGTGAAACATGTGAGTGCAACAAATCCAAAACTGACTCCATCTCTTCTGCGTGACAACAAATTTTAATGGAAACACACAAAAAAAAAAAAAAAAATGAAAGAGTGGTACATTTGAAACAAGCTCAACAGAAGCATCTGTACTCACCACACAGTCCTCTACAGACAGACACTGATGCTGCACAACAGAAGCAACAACACTTCACTTCACATGAAGTCCTGAACGCGGTCGGCTGCGGTCGTGCAGCAGTGAATCTGGTGACCTTTCTGCGGAACACAAGCCTTTTACAGTGTGGACGAGGAGCAGGCTTCTCAGGTGAACGGCCCGGACTGAATAATTTATGATCATCCTCCTGTCAATCTCTCTGACCATTAACAGCCACATATCACTGGAAAGCAGGTGGAGCAGCGGTTATAAAAACATGTTTCTTGTAAAGAGAAAGGTGCATTGTGGGAGTCCAGTCCAAGCTACAAAATTCAGTTGCCAACAAACCTGTTTAAGTGATTTAAAAGACTAATTAAAAGGTCTTTATTAAGCTTTAAAAAAAAAACAAAGATTACAATAAACCAGATTAAAAACAGAAAATAATCAGTCCAGTAAAGCAGAGCTTTCCAGCTTCGGCTTGGCTGCAGTCGTCTTCTTCTTCTTCTTCTTGCCCTCCTTGAACACTGGAGAGCTCAGAAACATGTTGTCAGTGAATTTGTCTCCACGCCTTATTTTGCTGTTTAAAAAAAAAACAAACAAAAAAAACAAATGCGATCAATTACTCACAGCTGTTTCCTGATATAATCAATACCGACAGCGTTTGTGGCCACGGTTCATAGACAAAGACGTCCTCACCTGTTGAGGGGCGGCTCCTTGTAACTGACGACACCGTGACGTCTCCTGGTTCGGCCTCTGATTTCGCTCTCTGGGGTTGTGATGGTGTTGGTCAGTGATGTTAAGACTCTTCCTGCTGCAACACAAAGTTACTCATTAACAAACAGACAACGCACGTTTACAAAGCTGCAGTTTCCCATTCCAAAAACTAGGAATAAAATCAGCCATCAGTATAAAATCTGTATAAAATCTTGCTATGGCTGCAGCTACTTTTCAATGAATCGTTTAGTGTATGAAATGTCAAAATTTATGCCCATTGAAATTTCCCGGACACCGAAGTCTGAACCCGTTCAAAACTCAATCACCTCACTGATTAACGAACTAATCGCTGCAGCTCTAGTTGACATAACTGTGTCAACACTGAAATATCTACAGTAAGCTAATGTATGTAACACATCAAACTGATGGACACCACACCTGGAGAGGCGTCATTAGTCGCAGCGGCAGACTCCTCAATCACCTCCTCCCCTCCTTCCACCTCCCCCGTCGGACTGGCCAGTAAAGAGAGCGCCTCAGGGTTAGTGGTGCTGACGTCCATGGCGAGCCACGGCGGCACCTCGTCCGCCAGCAGATCTCCCAGATTCTGATGAACTGCCTCGTTACTGGTGTCCTCCGTGTGACTGTAGGCGTCTGACACATGAGGCGTCCTCGTGTTGTTTAGTGAAACACTGTCCTGAGTTTTCCGCCTGTAGACGACAAACGTCTCCCTCGGGTTTCTCGTCTCTGTGGGTGTTTGCAGCTTGGGTTTCGTTCTGCGATCTTTTGGTTTCCGATCCATCCTGGACTTTGACCTGGTGGGGTTTGAATCATAGAACTGCTCATCCATCTCACTGATGTCGGCCACTTGAAGATCATCCAGTTCTTCTTCATTTCTCTCAGGCTCATCAGCGCTGCAGAGAGGTGAAGCCACACCGGCTTCCTGAAGATGACACGCTTCATCTGTGGATCTAAATCCTTTGTTGCTATGGCTACTTTTATTCTTCTTTTTCTTGTCCTTTAAAAGGTCATCACTCTCCTTCCTCTGCGCAGCTTTCTTCTTGCCGGAACGCCCCGCTTCTTCTCTCCTGGCTTTTTTAGTTTTCTGAAACTCGGTGCCTGTGGTAGAGTCTTGGTTATTGTTGCTGCTCATGTCCTCTTGACTGCTGCCTGGATCCTGGGTGGCCACCCAAGGACGCTTACAGGAGCTCTGCGTTTCTTCCACAAAGGCTCCGTCACTGTGTGGATTTGATTCTGAGCGTTGCCCGACGACACCTGTGTCCACGGCAGCCGACGGCTCTTCTGCCTCACAGCTGTGGCGTCCTGCAGAGGGCAGAAAGTCCTGCTCTGAGGAACCCACTTCTGGTGACGCACTGTTCGGCGAGATCCAGTCCCTCGCCACTGAGACAACAAACGTCCCTCTGCATCTTGATTTGAGACTTCCCTCTGTATTTTTGCTCGGTGGTTTGTTGTGACTTGGGAAAAGACGCCCCACATGGTCCGACTCTGGACGTTTGACCTCATCTGTGCAAAACAGGAACTCTTCCGGTTCTTCTTGGTCTTTGCACGATTCATCCTGTCCCTTAACTTCTTCCTTCACTTTATCATGGAGCTGTTCCAATCTGAGCTGACTGCTCTCACTTTCATGGGATGACGACATGAATACTGTTTTCCTGGAGACTAAAGACGCCCCCCTGCTCTTTTTCTTGGACCTCCTGCATGTGACTGTGGACACTACTTCTTCCTCAGCATCTTTCTCTGGTGATAATTGAACACTTTTGGTGGCTTTGGATAACTGATTTCCAGGATCCATGAAATAATTGTCCACATCGTCACAGGACATCTTTAACTTGGCGTGGTGCGGTGATTTGAATTTCTCCTTTGCCGCTTTCTGACAGTTGCCAGCCTTGCCCAGTTTGGGGATGCGAGAGGTTACAACACTACCAGACTGTTTTTTAGGTGAGTGGTGCTTGAAATCTTGTAGGTCTCTAATATCCTCTAGTGCACAGTCATCTGTCTGTGACAAAGAGTCAGTGGGAGCAGTCTGAACCTCACTCATCCAAGAATCTGCTGAATTTTTCACTGGTGGATTTGCAGCCAAACTCGACCCACTCAATTTTTCCTTCTTCTTCTTGCCGGCGTGGCCCTTTCTTTTGGGCTTGGTTTCCACTGTGACTATCTCACCAGCGCTGCTCTGCGTCATCTCCATTGTCGTATTCAGGAGCACTGTGTTCTCTTGTTTGTTACCGTGTTCTGGCTCAGTTTCCGTGACTGAGGCGCAGGGAGGGTTCACATCATCAGCGGAAGCTGGTTTAGAGTTTTCACACGCGCTGAGACGTGACGAGGTTCGGCTGCTCTGAGGAAAAAGGACTGACTTCATGTCAAACCCCGACTGAGAGAACACCATCGACAGCCTCTCCACTTCATCCCTCAGCCTGCTGGACGGGCGTGATGCTCCTGTGCGGGGAGCTTGTTTACACTGGCTTGAACGCCTTTTTTCAGCATCTGTAGTTTCTGTGAGAAAGCAGTTGTGGGAAATGTACAAATTAGTATTTCCAGTGAATATTACATCAGTATCACAGGGTATATCACTGTAACATATTTGATGATGATCAACTAAAAAAACACTTTACCATTGTGAGCATCAGTGGAGTTATTGAGTCTATCCTGGATACAGAAGACGTTATCATCCAGGTTTTTTTCAGGCCGGTCGGCTGTTAATTCTTTTGTCATTTCTGGCTGAGGAGGTAACGGAGCTGTGAGACTGAAACGGGAAAGGATGGGTGTAAAAAGCAAGACAAAGCTGCCTTAACAAAAAATGGCTCTTAGTTCAAAACACAAATAAATCTGAGTGAAATATTTGCTCACCTTTCCGCTGGATGATTGTCCTGGATGTTGCTGAATAAGTTGTTGTTGTCCTGAGATAGTTTAGGAAGATCCTGTGGGTAAGGAACAATCACACATTACTGTATGTTTTGCATAGTTTGTTATTGCGAGTGAAGTTACCGTGATTCATAGTTTCATGTCTCATTGGGAAAAATATAAGTTTAACTTTATCGTGTGATTTTCAATATTTCAGTATATACAGTGAAATACTAATATCAGGACAATGATGTGAGGATAACTGAAATCACACTTTTTATGTCCACTCATGCATCACAGGCAACTCAGACTTGCCACACGAAACCACAACTGTTAGCACTGATTGAGAGGAGTCCTTACACTGTCGGAGAATAAGTCGGCCACCATGTCAAAGTGCTGCAGAGTGTTGTTATGGAGGCTTTTCAAGATGAGGAGCTGTGACAGAAAAAAAAACAAAAACAAGATGAACTGCAGTCAATATAATCGATTATCAAATCAAACATTTCTCAGATATTCTGTGCATTAGAATGAATACTTGTACGGTCATTATCGCCTTCTGCCTGACAGGCCTTATGTGTTAACTACTTTATGTAAACAACAAACTTACCAGTTTCCTGTCCTTGTATTTCCTGGTGGCCAGCTCGAAGCACAGAACCTCCACTTGCTTCTTCAGACACACAATCTCCTTCTCCAGCTGCCTGTTCCTCTCCTTCTGCACCTCCAAAGCGAGAGCTAAGGCCCTGTTGTTGGTCTTCAAAGAGATCTTGAAGAAGGAGGACGAGTCTGGTGTGAAGAAGCATTACAACATTCATTCTTGTTAGGAGAATAAATTAATTCAGATAATGTCTGAGAGCCATAAAGCTTATAGCGTAATATGGTTGTACAACATGAGGCACAGACATGTTGGTTTGTAAATGTGTTGAAATGAATGATGGACTCACTGAGGAGCTTATTTTTGATCTTTGATGCTGCAGCTGAAGTCTGCTTGGAAGCTTTTGAAGGTACCATTGTCTTCTCATTGAACATGATGACAAAGGATGATGAATGATGATGGATGAAGAAATCTGTAACCTGAGAAAAAAAAACAAAAAAACAAAGATGTTAGCTTTTGTACTGTATTGTATTGTATTGTATTATTACTGAGAAAGTGACATTGCAACAGATATTTAGATCTTAAATGTATGTAGTCTTTAAGTTTGGGTGACACAAATAAAGCTAGCACCTACAGTTTTTCGACCATGGTCTACCGACTTAACTTTGCTGACAAACTAGAGATTTTAAATAAGTAGTTAATTTTTCCGTCAGTTAGGCGACGTTAGCATTACCTAACGTATGTGAATGGTGAATCCGTTGCTAACTGGTGTAGCCAGCGCTAGCATGATACGCTCGAAATTTAGACAAAACTTACCGGTAATCGACGTTAACCGGCGATAGACTTTGCCTTTTGGCAATAAACTTTATTGATAATGGCCGTGGAATGATCAAATAACGCTCATTCGGACCATTCTAACTGCCGCTATCACATCCATCCAAAGTCGTTGATTTAAACATAAACAAAAAGTCCGCCGCGCGTCTGCGCAGGTGCGAGGAGGTGTGTCTTAAAGAGTGGGTGTTTTTCCCCTGAGTTTGTCTCGTTTGGCAGACTCTACTAACAACCTGCCATCACTCAAGGCCAGTATTTATCAGACTGCTACTTTGTACTTAAGTGAAACTTAAAAGTAAAAATCCTTAATTTGGTTGAGAGGAGATCCTCTGAAATGAGCCTCTCTCGTTCTTCATTTCTTCATTATAGATAGATAGATAGATAGATAGATAGATAGATAGATAGATAGATAGATAGATAGATAGATAGATATATTGTACACCCATCTGTTTTAAACCCCATACACATTTAAATGGCACCTGGATGGCGGTCTGTCGTGAGAGGAATAGGCTGGTTCAATCGATAGTTCTGAGCTCTGCTGCCCTTTCTCTTGATCACAACAGTTGGATTCAGCGCAGGTCTCGATTCGTCAGGGCTGCTTGCGTATGGGAGTCGGCTGTTTTCAGCTGTTTTATTCATGTCTACAAAGTCGGAGCGCTATTTACAGTGATGTCCAATTCACACAGTGGACGGGTAAATCACATTTTATTACTGTGACGACAGTTCTCTCATATTTTATATGGCAGGTGTTCCGAAATATAGGGCTGTTGCAGCCAACCGGCTAGTGAGCATAGGAAGCTAACGTTAGCTAGCTTGGCTACTATAGCCATATCGTTAAGATAGTCGGCTAACGTTAGCTAACCCATATTAATTGACCTATTTTGTGTTTCAGGTAGTTGCTGCAAATATAACACTCATTTAATTAAAGCTGCATTAATTTGGTTATAAGTACCGCGTATAGCATATACACTGACATATAGATTAAATGATACAAAGTGTAATTAAATTAGCTAACGTCCAAGCCAGTTCTGGTTCAGTTAGCCAACAACCAGCGACTCTGAAGTTAGTTTCTGATTCAGCAGTTCAGGGGAACGTTAGGGGAAACATTATCTACAATATGTTAGAGATCCTAGTTTAACCCCAGTTTCAGAAATAGGAATTTCATATCTTTTTACCCTCATCCATACCACATCAGACCAGGTTTAGCTCATAAATCGTTACACTCACTCTAGACGAAATTAAAGGGAGTAAAATCACCATTTTCTTTTGCTTTAAGAAATATAATAAAGGTTTCACAAATGTGATAGTGGGTTTCAAACAGGTTTAAGGCTTGAACTAGGACGATTTGACAATAAAAAGAGGTGAAGAAACTGAAAATCGACCGCTCAATAGTGTCATCGAGTTTCCTTAAACTTTCCCCTTAACTGCCGAATTGGAAGCTAACTTCAATGTCGTCGCCATCCACTTGCAAAAGTGTCGAAACTGTGGCGGGGCCGTATAATCTGTCTGCAGACTATCACCTCATCCAAGTGATGGTGAGCATTAACCTGTGCTCATTAGCTCTGCGACACGCTGCGTGGTCAAGTGGAGGGCTCGGTTCTTAGCTGTCAAATGGTCAGGACGCAGGAGTCATGCTCCGGCCTGTTGTGATCACATGATGAGGTGGAAGAACGTGATGCTGCCGCTTCTGCTTTTTTCACCCTTCTACACATGATCTAACATGGCATGCATAGCAAACTCAAAGTCTGTAGCTTTCTTCAAAGGGTAAGTCAAGGGGAGATTTGAAGAGATGTTCCCGATATTTACACGGTTAGTAAATGAACGAGAAATGTCGATTTGACTAGCTTTAGTATAGCCCTAGTTTAGTGATCTAACTTTATCAATCAACCTGTTCATTTCATGAGTTTGTCTATCGGAAAAAATCTGTAATCAATTCCAGATTAGGTATTAGATATGGTAGATTTATGTCGATATTGTGTATGGTGTGTGTAGTGTGTGTATTAAGAAAAAACATGTTATAACTTCTTTTTTTTTGGTGCTTGCTACTTAATCTGTTTCCTGTCGAGGGAAAACGGAAATTTCAGAATCTCAGAATAAGTTTTCTTGAAATTTCCCTTTGTGCTAATAAGGCACAGAATCGGACAGATGTCTCTTAAAGCTGTCCTATGATGTGATGTTCAGAAAAGTTGTTATTATTATTTTAATCATAAAAGACCATTCAACAGGTTTCACTAAAATGTTGATTTCCTCTCTAGTTGTGCTGTTTTATGAAACTGATACTGAAACATGAAAGTTCATATTAATGGATTTTGTCTCTGCTATTCGATTCTTTGTCTTGCTTCTATGAGGTGGATGCTATTATAAACATAATGTATAATGTTGCTATGGAAACAGTGAGCTACAACCTGATCCTATAGGTTATTTGTTTATGTTCTGGCACCTGTAAAAGTTTTCTAAATTAGCTGTTAGTAGTTCCTGTTTGCAGTGTACTAAGGGATGTACAGGCAACTCTCACTGGATTACTTTGATACTGAAGAAAACTTAAAAACTTAATTTTCAGGCAAGTTCTGTATTTGTAATTAGTGTTTTATCTGTGATTATCGAGCAGATTTATTGATGTTAATTCGCTATGGACACTGGACATAATGATATCTGCAGGAAGTGTAAGTCACACTGGGATATTACAGTTCACTGGTTATAGTTTAGTTTTTTATGGATGAATAACACACGTGTTGCTGAGTGAGCTTATGAAGCTAAAATCCCTGTGGTTCTGTTTATTCATTGGTGCTGTTTAGTGATTTAACTCTCCACAGTTGAATTTGCACTGAGATCATTCTCCTGCTTAGCATCGGGTTTGCAACTACTGTTTGTTTGTTGTCAATTTCCTCTTTGGCGGTTATGATAGGTATATCATAAACCCCACTTAAAAAGAAATTAAATTAAGTTGTGTCAGAAAGTAATAGCGGCAGTAATAGACAGTAAAATTATACCGTTACTTTGAGTTTAGCTTTTATTTAATCTGACTAGCGCTGCAACTAGGAGTCATTTTCACCTGTGATTAATTTTGAGATTATTTTCTTGATTATTTCATGGATCTTTTGATCTATAAAACATAAGAAAACAGTCATAAATGTTTATCACAATATCCTATATCTCCTGGTGACATCATTAAATGTCTGGTATTATCTTAACAGTCCTAAACCCAAAAACTGTTTCAAATTATCATCTTCAATTCAAAACCAAGAAAAACAGCATTTGAGAAGCTCAATTTCTTTGGCAAATTTGCTTGAAAATGATAAATTTTATCCTAACAAAGTGGCCACTGATTATTTTGATACATAGCTCTAGTTCCCTTAAATTGCCTCCCGGTTGATGACAGAGTAAGTCATTTGAAAGTGGACAGATATCATCATGAGACGTGAGATTCTGTTGCTAGAAACAAACAAATAACCAAACTGCTGCAGCTTAGTGTGACCGCAGCGCCTCACTTCTATGATCTTTGCAGATTAGATGAGAGTAACTTCATGCTGATATTGTGGATGTGAACATGTGAGAACACAGCATGTTGTCTGTTCTAGGAGCTGACCACTGACTCATCCTGCGAGATGAGCTCAGTCACAGTTTGATGAAGGGTCACTTGAAGTTGATCTGTTACACATGTGATAAGATGTTTGGGTTTTTTTTTTTTACCTCTCTAGCAGGAGTAGCAGCAACATGGCTGCTGATGACAAGTCGTCGTCCTCATCCTCAACAGACTGGAGCGTCGAGCCGCCTGTCATCTCGCCCACCAGCCCCTCCCACCTGACCCACTTCAAACCACTGACTCCGGAGCAGGATGAGCCTCCTCTCCGCTCCGCATACAGCTCGTTTGTCAACCTGTTTCGTTTCAACAACAAAGGTCAGGGATACACACACACACACACACACACACACACACACACACACAAATATCTAGATGTTGTTATGGATGTAGCCCCATAATATACCAGTATTTTGGTTTGCTAAAGCGCCACAATGGTCCCTTCTGTTCTGTGTGACGGTGATGTGTAGAAGACGTACCATATAGTCCATATAAGTCTAACACTGCGACGTCCCCTCAGATAAAAGAGAGACAACTGCAGCCCCTAACACCCCAACACCCCCACCCCCCACCCAACTGTACATGAACTGATGGAGGAGAGTGTCAGTAATATAAGAACCATGTTGATGGGATATTTGGAGCCTTAGTAATGTCAAAAAATATTAATATTTATTTATCTCAGTGTTACTTTGATACTGAAGAAAACCTAAAAAACACGATGATTCTCAGGCATGTCCTGGCGTTATAGAGAGCGTCTTTATTCCACAGATTTAAGGACATTGGAGATAATGAGATCCTCGGGAAGCGTACGTCACACTGAATCTAAAGACGCGTGCATCACGTCTGTGTATTAAAGGATAGGTTGAGAAGCTAATGTTAGGCTTCAGCGGTCTGAGGTAGACAATGGAAGGTTTGAAGGTTTGATCTGATAGAGTCAAATGAAAAGTGAAACAGGAACTTCGATGTAGGTAATTGCCCAAAAAAAGTGCCTGACCAGCTGGTGTGTTTTTATCTGAAGTTCATCACAATTCTGAGAACTACATATTTTTCCCTTTATGTATATGAATGAACAGTAAGTGCACTAGTCCTTCTCGGACAACATATACAGTCCACAGTCATAGCAGTTAACATTTAAGAACATAAATTTCCCTGTAGCTTCTTCACACAAAGATTTGTTTTATTCTTTTTTTTAATATTCTTTTTCTTATTGTATAACTTCATTCACAACATGATCCATTTAAAACCTTCCATGAGACTCAGTTGTGAGCAAAGATAATGAATCTGATAAGTCAAAATAGATAATACTGAAACAAGTAAATCAATTAAATTACAGGCGTCCATCAAGAAGAAAAAGAAAACTAAATAAAATACAAAAAGGGTTAATTATTTATTTCATAACACAAAAACAGAGAAACCAAACCAATCCAAATACCTAAAACAATAATAGAAAAAACAACAGTTTTGTTCATTCATCAACATTTGAAATGATATAGACACATAGTGCCTTATTGACAGAAGATGAATTTTATCATAAATGATCCATAAAAGTAAAAACAAAAATTTACCTTTTGACTTTAATATCTGATGCCTGAAGTTAATGAGAAGGGACCATGAACAGTTTCCTTGAAACTGAATTAAGTTGTGTCAATAAGACAAAGGTTAACACTAGATTTGTTAGTCTTGCTATGAGACAGCTCTGTGATTCATAAACTGTGTACAAAGTTCAAATCTATATATATATATATATATATATATATATATACTGTATATTTACCTGTAAAGAAAGCATAATGAATCTATAAGACAAAAGCACATCAAACCCCACACTATGTTAACAACCTTTCCTGGTATTTTGCTGCAGTTTAAAGAAGTTGGGGCAATTAGCCACAGTCTTGTGAGGTCATGTGATACACATTGCCTGCCTGGGTCAGTGCCAGGAACCAGCGAGCCACATGACTCACGTGTTTGTAGTCCTGCCTCTAAAGTCCTGCACTCTGAACAGAGCTCAGCAGCAGCAGCAGCAGGGGCCTGAACTTTATAAAGCTCACACTGGAATTTCCTACAGATTAAATTACATTATTTTTAATTATATTAGAAGACATAGAAACACAGAATGTTCTAAAATTACATTATGTTAGATCTTATCTTTTGTACTGTACAAATTATAATGTAAGTGAGTTAATTCTCCATGAAATGGCTCAAAACAATCCCTGAAATATTCTGGTGTGCAGATGAGCAAAAACTGGGATGGTTGTTTAATTTTGATGTGTTTAAATGTTCTAACCTTGACAATGCTGGAAAAGGAGGCAAAAGGTTTTAATTGGTATATTATTAAATTGAGAATTTTGTTGTGGACAATGATAGTTGGTTGGATGGAGGTTCATCCTACAGCGAGATAATGAGTCGAAACATTGGAAGAACAGAACCAGGTGATGAAGACCAGCACAGTCTCCAGACTTAAACCCCATGGATAGTCTGGGATTAACTTTCCAAACCATATTTGATTTCAGTGAGACATTTAACTATGTACATTTCAATCAAACTAGAAGATGGTGATGTTCTCAAACTTTTGGCTGGTAGTTTTTATATAGTTTATAAATTTACTTCACTTAACAGCCTAAATAAAAATGAATACTGATCTCAAAAGTACTGTATTTACTTTGGACCCTGTGTGTGTGTGTGTGTGTGTGTGTGTGTGTGTGTGTGTGTGTGTGTGTGTGTGTGTGTGTGTGTAGAGGAGGGGCGTCCCCCCTCAGCAGCAGGTTCAGATAAGCCAGATGTGCCGCCCCCCTCTCCTCAGTCAGAGGGGAGGAGCTGGTCGTCCAGTCCTTCCCACTCCCTCTACGGCTCGAGGACGCGCCGGAAACAACATCCTGAACACCTCCGACGTACCTCCACTGCCTCCGGTAAAAAATACAACAACAACAAAAAAACAACACACACACACACACAGTACAGATGGTGATATTTGAGGCTTGTGTGTGTTTCATCAGGTAGCGACGCTGCTGTAAATAGGAAACAGGTTTGTGATTATCACCTTCTTCAAGAAACTTGTATCTTATAGCATCTTTACTGCTGTTTTTCAGGCTTCAACAACTTTTCCAGCTGTTGAAAAGTTGTAGGTAGTAAATCTTGCAGAAGGCTGTTGTGTATTTCATAATCTTAAATCAAGGTTTTACAACATCTTGAATGTGATTAAATGACTTTATGTACTTAGATCTCTTAGATTTAGAGAAAAACTTTTTGAATTATTGCTTTTTATGGACAGCAGTCACTGTTTTTCATACAGGCCTATGTACTTGGATTACACTTATTTTATTATATTATTTATCTGGTAATAACAGCGCCATGATTAATTACATTTTGCATCACACATTTGTTGATTGTATCATCTGTTATTTGATTTAAAGCCTCTGTCACATAATGAATAAACTAATCAGAGGCCACTGATAACACCGCGGACATTGCCTTACAGTAGACTTCAGTTTGCTGCTGAAGCTCTTGAATTCATCTCCTTTACTGACACACACTGAGAAACTGAGAAAGAAAATTGTCCTTTTCCAGCTGTTTTCTTTGGAAGACAGTCAGATATAAAACACTGTAAAATAAGACACAAGTGAAGAGGTTTATTCCAACACTTAATCCCATAGTTTAGCATTCACTATCTTCCACTAATGTTTGGAAAGATAGGACGTTTAGAAATATGGAGAGATGTTCTTGAATGACCAGCTGTTTATTCGTTGATGTGAAGATTCATTTTATGATACACAGCTTTTGGTGCAAAACATATTCAACGCCAATATAAAAATATAATATAATTATTATTATTTAAGTGATTTAAAATGTCTGGAAAAGTGATTTTCAACCCCCCAGTCTCTGTCAGTATTCTGTTAAAAGAGCAATACCATTCTCTTTTTTATTTGTCATGTACCAGAACTCCAGCTTTCGTTGGGTTTTTAATTCTAGTGTAAATTATCAAATCATTTGTCTGTTTTGAGAGAAAATTCGATTTCAGCATTTATCCACATTGATAAAGAGTTTTCATACAATCAAACTAAATATAATGTTTTGTGTTTAAAAGATATTTAGTGTTGAAAACATCAAAGAGATGATGAATCCATGTTCAGGCTGTAACGTCCGTTCTCATGTCTTTTCTGATTACAGTGGATTGGCCAGGTGAGGGGCCTTCTGCACTGTGTGGTTTCTGTTTATTTCTTTTTTTGTTTTTTACTAAAGATGCTTTTAGCTTGACCATAACAACTGGTTCTGAAAGAATGGCCTTACACAAACTGTTTTGTGTGTCTGAGTGCATGCGAGTGTGTGTGTGTGTGTGTGTGTGTGTGTGTGAGTGTGTGTGTGTGTGTGTGTGTGTGTTTGTGTGTGTGTGTGTGTGTGTTTTGATATTTGCATTTTTAATGAAGTGCTTTCTATTGGTCTTTGGTTTGCCCTAATGTTTTCCACTCGGGTACTAAAAACTGGAATGATGTTTGTCATGAATGATTTTGAAGCTAACAGTTTCTGCTCAACATGTCTTTGTTTCTTGGCCATTTTATTTTATTTTATTTTTATTAATCGCATCATGTGTCATTTTACAAACATACTCAACAACAAGGAAGTTATCCACAAGAGGCTGAAGTGCATTGTCAAATGTTTGTCATCTTTTAATGATGAAGCCAACACAAGAGGAATTCATTTATCATCACCTTACATTTAATATAGTTTTAAAAAGGCATATTTGACAATGCAGCAGGATGGATTTAGTCAGTTACTGTGTGTGTGTGCGTGTGTGTGTGCGTGTGCGTGCGTGTGTGTGTGTGTGTGTGTGTGCATGATTGTAGACGGCAGCAGGAAGTCGGATACGCCTCTAAGCAATCATGACCCTCGCACAGCTGTGCAACTTCGGACTGCACTGAAGAGGCTGAAGGAAATCATGGAGGGAAAGAGCCAGGTATTCACATCCAGTCTAACGTCAACTCTTTGTCCCTCAGCTTTACACACAATTTGAACTGAGCACAACTTCAATGTATATGATTGGACACTGCAGTAAATGCTGAGAATCTTTACCACAAGCTCAAACCCTGCAGTACCTCCTCTCTGTGGATTAAAGCAGTGTGCTGTGGTTGCTGTCCCCCCCTTCAGGACAGTGATTTGAAGCAGTACTGGATGCCTGATAGCCAGTGTAAAGAGTGCTACGACTGCAATGAGAAGTTCACCACCTTCCGCCGCCGACACCACTGTCGACTGTGCGGTCAGATCTTCTGCAGCCGCTGCTGCAACCAGGAAATCCCCGGAAAGTTCATGGGCTACACGGGTAGGAGACAAACTCAAGATGAATGAATGGTCTGTTTCATTTCATTGTGCTGTGAAGAACAAAAGAAAAAATCAACGACTAAACTAAAATGTCTCTTCATCTTCTCTCCGTCTTCTTCACTGTGTATGTAGGAGATCTACGTGCCTGCACGTACTGTCGTAAAATAGCGCTAAGCTACGCTCACTCAGCCGACTCGGGCTCCATCGGGGAGGACCTGAGCGCCCTGTCCGACTCCCCCTGCTCTGTGTGTGTGTTGGAGCCCAGCGAGCCTCGGACACCTGTGGGTGGGCGCAAGGCCAGCAGGAACATATTCCTGGAGGAAGACCAGACCTGGCAGAGGTGAACACACACACACACACACACACACACACACACAGTATTTGTTACGCAGATAAACACACACACACACTGGGTCAAATCAAATCATGGAAATTGCACTTGAATTTTAACCTTTTATTCCAGCTCAGATAAAAGCAAGTGGATAATATATTTTATTAAGATTTTTTATATTAAATTAGACTCAGAATTAGTCCTAACTGCAAATATTTTAAGAGATGTCCTATTTGATTTTGCCCAAATACAACAATAAAGAAGGCCCACTGCATGATGCCTTCAGTGTCAGCTCTGAATTCATGCCTCCAACCATCACGTTTACCACCTGAACTGTGAACATCCAGGACTGTGCAAAAGTTTTAGTCCATCTAAAGCGCCTACAACCTTTCTCGACTTCAGATTCTCACTGCTTGTTTTCTGATGTGTCTGTTATCAGCTCGCACAGGGATTATGATTTTGCTCATGATGGAAAAAAACACTGCCCTATTTTTTTTTCCCCCAGTTTCCTCCAGCTGTGCTCGCTCTTTGTCCATCTTGATTTTCTGCTGTTTGAACCATCTGTGTGTGCTTTGAATGTACTCTGCATGGGCAAGACACAGAAGGATATTATGGCATATTTACATATGAAATATCTATATCAGCTGGCAACTGCTCCTGCTGCTGAAGTAAAACTCATTAGGTGAGCTGTAAAGAAAACATAAGAGTCACTGGGGTCAGCTGCGTGTGACCTGACAGGCCAGTAATGCAGTACAGAAAAACCGGCTCTAATTAATCAATAACTTAAAAGAATAAAAGAGGGAGCATCTATTTGAGGAAGAAGAGCACGAGGACTGGTCTAATCTTCCTCTTTAAGCCGCTTTTTAACTTATTGTTGATGGTCTTGTATTAAAATAATGATTAAATTAACTGTGCACAGAACAAAACAGGCAAAATTGTTGAATTAATCTTCAATGGCACCTTTGTTTGAAGGCTCGTCCAGCCATGCATGCCTTTTATAATCCCGCGCTTGTTTTGCTGCTGTTGTTTGGAATCGGTGTGCTCTCTGCTTATTTTCTCTGTCAACTCGCCTCAAACACAAATCTGTTTCCTCTCTCTCTCCTGGCATAGAAAAACTCCTATTGGGATGAGAAAGAAGTGAGTCTCGCTGTTTGTTTTATTCATTTTTTTTTCACATCTGTCTGAGCTTTAGCTGTCTGTGAGTAGAGGCTAACCTTCCTGGCTCCGTAGAGAGGAGACGGTCGTCTGCATGCTCAAATTCACCCAACATAAGTTTGACATAGAGGAAGTGTAAAGATCACAGCAGAAAGAATATCAGTGGTTTTGTGTGTGTGCGCGTGTGTGTGTGTGTGTGTGTGTGTGTGTGTGTGTGTGTGTGTGTTCATTAGTATGATTCACCAGGAGCCTCAGAGCAGCGGCCTCGCTTCCAGACTTACAACTCTGCAGGAAGACGTCGGCAAATCGCCCGCAAGGAAGAGGTCAGTCGCTGGCTCGTTGGGTTTGATTGTAAAGTACAGTGTGTTCCATGCGAAGTCAAGCCAGCGTGTGTGAATGGTCCCTGTTCGTCTCCGCACCACAGATCCGCCAGCGTGACCACCCTGTCGCTGGACCGCTCCGGATCCTCCATGGTTCCCTCCTACGACAGCTCAGTGAGTCCGCCGACCAGCCGGGCCATGTCGGGCACCAAGAGCGGCGCCAAGCTGGACCACAGCGAGGAGGAGAGGAAGATCCTGCTGGTTGCCTGCTTTACTCTTTCCTTTATTCTTTTGATTTTCATCTCCAACTTTAAAGTTATTTTAACCCACACTGGTGCTTTCCTCTTTACCGTACTCCACCACGCAGTGAAACATAATGAGACACGGTGCTGTGTCTGTTTCAGGACTCCTCCCAGCTGAAAGACCTGTGGAAGAAAATCTGCAACAACAGCACAGGGATGGAGTTCCAGGACCACAGGTACTGGCTGAGGACCTACCCCAACTGCATTGTGGGAAAGGAGCTTGTCAACTGGCTGCTGAGGAACGGCACCATCTCCACCAGGTAGCATCTCACTGGACGGACATGTCCTCTCCTGTCTTAGCGGTCTTTGGAAGGAATATTAAAGGAGTAGTTTGACATTTTGTGAAATGTGATTATCCGCTCTGTTGATTAGAGTTAGAGAATACTGCGTTCATATTTATATGTTTAATATATAACTTGATGTTTACAAAGGGAAAAACTTAAATGTAGAAATAATACAGTTGAGGTTGGGACTTGGCTCCTCAGGGTTTCTTCTGTTTGTTTTCCTTATGTTGCAAGATTTCTCCGAGTGGTTACCTATTGCATCAGTATGTCAAATTATCAGTCAATCTTCTCAGCTGATCAATGAATTGATTGGTCTTGAAAATGTTAGAAAATTGTGGAAAATATACATCACAATTTCCTGAAGGCAAAAATAATTAAATAATTGATCAAAATGATGGCATATTGATTGTTACGTCAGTTGACTAATTGATTCACTGACTAATTGTTTCAGCTCTATGGGCAGCGGTGGTGACTATAAATGTCTGACATGTTACTCTATGTCTTTGTTTTCTTTTCCCATGTTCCTCGAGCTTTACTTCATTTTGTGACGTGTTGGTAGTTGAACTCGGACTCGACCCTGATCTCAGCTGATCTTGTATTTGCTGCTTCTGCTCAAACTGAACTCAGTGCAGAAGCCTCATCTCTTAAATATCTTAAATATATCTTTATTGACAAGTTGGAAGCTGCTCTGGATCTCGTGTTTCACAGCTACGTTCTCCCTCCCGTCCCGATGTGTCTGTGTTGCAGGGCCCAGGCGATCGCCATCGGTCAGGCGTTGGTGGACGGTCGCTGGCTGGACTGTGTCACCCACCACGACCAGCTGTTCAGGGACGAGTACGCTCTCTACCGCCCCCTCCAGGTGACAGCCTTTTATTGATGAGTAAATTCTGCGCACACCGGGAAACAGACGTCTCGTTTGCATCTCATTTACATTTGCTGTTAACATACTTTGACACATCACGAGTTGATATTGATCGATTCAGCAGCCTCAGCGATTGATTGTTTCAGTGAATTAAGAAGTGCTGACGGTGACGTTTCTCTGTCTGGTCTGCAGAGTACAGAGTTCTCAGAAACGCCGTCTCCAGATAGCGATAGCGTCAACTCCTTGGAGGGACATTCAGAGCCATCCTGGTTCAAGGACATCAAGTTTGATGACAGTGACACTGAGCAGCTTGCAGATGAGGCCGAGTACAACATGCCTAGTACGTATCTTTATTTTCATACTGTTGTCATACTCTCTGCACAGGCCGCCTCTGGTTTGGTTTCTGTGAATTAAAACGGCAGCTGCAGCTCACTGACCTGTCCCTCTGTGCAGACTCTGCCAGCCCCAGCAAGAGGACGTCCGTCAGCAGCTTCCAGTCCGTGGTCGACAGCGACTCAGCCGCCTCCATCAACCTCAACATGGAGCAAAACAATGTCAACTTCCACATTAAGAAACAGTCCAAGTATCCACACGTGCCTCCTGCCGCTGACCAGAAAGGTAAATACAACATGTCCCACACACGTATCAGTCGAGCTCTCCATGGATTTTTGTCCATACAGTCAGTTAGTTATTTCACAGTCACTGTTTCTCCTTAAAGTTTACTTAAACTTTTTAACACAGATCAACAGACAACAGTCGACTCCTTAAAGGAAAACTACACTTATATATATAATACGGTTTTATGTCTGTAGCGCCAGCCAGTGGTGGAAGAAGTGTTCACAACCTTGAACCTCCAGTAAAAGTAGATTCTAACAGTATAAAGTTATTGCATTAGAAGTAAAAGTCCTGCACTCAAAATAGTATGTAAGTAAAAGTACAAAAAATATCAACATAATATAATTTAAGTATCAAAAGTAACGTTTTAAAGCTGCAGCTGGTTAACAGGGAGCAACTTTTAACTCATTTATACACATTTGAGAAGTTGAATCTTCAACAGTGCAGCATATTTTTTAAAAACTTCATACGTTTTTTATGTAAAAATCTTAATCTGCAAAGTAACAAGTAACTACAGCTGTCAAATACATGTAGTGGGGTAAACAGTGCAAAAGTTGTAATAAACCACAGTTTTCCTTTAATGTCAAGTGAAAACTAATTGATCAAATGAAATACAGGTATCACAGCTTCAAGTCAGTGTTTAGTGGAGGCGTGGCAGCAGTTAAAGCCTTGAATCAGTCGTGTCAGTCAGCTGTCTGATCCAGCGTTGTTGAGTTGTGTGGGGGCTGAGTGAGCAGCACTTTACCAGTCCCTAAACTAAAAATCACATTTATATTAATTATAATTCAATACAATAAAACAAGCTACAACATTTGTTATACACACGGTATCTAACGAGCTGATCTCTCTCCTCCTGTAGCTGAGTTTCTTGTGTCTGAGGATGGAGGTCAGAACATTGTCATAAGTGACGCCTTCATCAAAGGTAAGGAGCTCGGCGTTTCTTCGTGGATTTAATCAGATGGAAATCACACATCCTGACTTGCAGCTGAGTAATCCTGCTCCTTCCTTCTGACCCGATGCTCCCGCAGAGTCTCTGTTCAACCGGCGCGTGGAGGAAAAGGCCAAAGAGATGCTGTTCACGCCGCTGGGTTGGCACCACAGCTCTCTGGACCAGCTCAGAGAGGAGAACGGAGAGAAGAAGGCCATGGAGAGGCTGCTGTGAGTGGAGATTATACTACTGTTTGTGTCCAGCATGATTATACAAGTGTCATTAGAGATGGATCCAGAGGTAGAGAGAGAGAGGGAACGAGCAGGACATCAGTTTTGGACTGAGCCTCACTGTGACTGTACGAATAGTCATTGTTCATTTGCTGGTATGACTGAGCTCAGGTGGGCGGGAGCGGTGCTAGTAGCCTCTCTGTAGGCGAGCACGAGCGAGTGGGACGACATGTGAGCAGCAACATGGAGCCAGTGGAGAGAAATGAAAAGGATCTGTTTTGTATATTGTAGATAACCACTGATCTAAGAAACAGAACATTATAAATAATGGTACCAGTGATTATTATCAGTTTAATTCAATGGTTGATTATTTTTCATTTAATCATTAAGTCTGTGAAATATACTGTGTATATATCAGAATATATCAGAAATAGTAAAAAAAAAAAAAAAAGAATGGCCAAGGTGACTTCTCCATAGTTTGTAACCCAAAGATATTTAATTTAAAATGATATAAAACTGTAACAAAATGCTCTTATTTGTGAAGCGGAAGCCATCAAACATTTGGTTTGATTTTAATTGATAAATGACTTTAAAAATGATCTAATTGGTAAAATTGTTGCTGATTTATTCTCCACTGACGGACAGATTCACTGACTAATTGTTAATCACTTATTGTGATTTAGAAGAACAGACTTACTGATGTTTGCAGAGACACAGTCGAGCTCTGTAAACTGTCCAAGTTAATCCTTGAAAAGAATTAGACTTTGAACTACGTGGTCTCCGGTGAGCAGCTAACAGCAGGAAAATCCCTCCGGCGTGATTATTAAACCGTCCGTCTCTCCGCCCGCTTCTGTCCAGCTCGGCCAACCACAGCCACATGATGGCGCTGCTGCAGCAGCTGCTCTACAGCGAGTCTCTGTCTCTGTCCTGGAGGGACATCATCGTCCCCGTGGTTCGACAGGTGGTCCAGACCGTGCGGCCCGACGTCCGCAACTGCGACGACGACATGGACATCCGACAGCTGGTCCACATCAAGAAGGTCAGGAGACCGTCGTCTTATTACACACATGAATTTAACTGTGTGGAGGAAAACTGTTTGACTTCAAGTGGTGTCAGAATAAAACTGAATCTCCGTTTGTGCTTTAGATCCCCGGGGGCAGGAAGTTTGACTCAGCTGTGGTAAACGGCTTCGTATGCACCAAAAACATCGCCCACAAGAAGGTGAGAAAGGTCCCGTTCTTCAGTCCCACGGAGATCCTACATTTTAAAGCTTTTGTAACTACTGGATTAAAACCACTCAAACATCATCCACATCTGTCTGTGGTTGGTGTTAAAGCTTCTAATTTAAGCAAAGTGGCAGCACAAGAAAGAAGACGAGCAAAATGTCAGTAACAAACACTGAGAAAGAGAAATAATAGGAGGTATTTAGAGCTGTCAAATAACCATGACTTTTTTAAATCAGCAATAATCAGCAATCGTAGATAATATTGATTCCTGTCTCCCTGTAATCAGATGAACCCCTACATCAAGAACCCCAAGATTCTGCTGCTGAAGTGCTCCATAGAGTATCTGTACAGAGAGGAGACCAAGTTCACCTGCATCGACCCCATCGTGCTGCAGGTCAGCGTCTCAGTCACTAACTACAGTCAACGATGGATCGTAGAGGAAACGCCGTTTTTAGCGACGTTGGCATTTTGCGTTTGTCGTAGTTTCTTTTCTGAAACTAAGAAAATCTTTTTCCTTTTTCCTCGCCCTCAGGAACGAGAGTTTTTGAAGAACTACGTCCAGCGCATCGTCGACGTCCGTCCCACCCTGGTACTGGTGGAGAAGACGGTGTCCCGCATCGCTCAGGACATGCTGCTGGAGCACGGCATCACACTGGTCATCAACGTCAAACCGGTTTGTATAATGAGTCGATGTCCTTTGTTTCAACCACTGACTGAAAAACTTTCTTCTTCAAATACAAAAAGGAAAAATAGCAACAAAATACTTAAACTTCATTATCACATTTCACACATCAGAAAATACTACAATGTGTTTAAAATAAAAAAGTTAAGATCGTATTTGTTTACACAAGGAATTGTATAAAACATTAGGACTTTCTTTATGTTTGTTGAGTTTTCTGAAATGGAAACAGATACTTTTCCTCATCTCTTAAGAAATAAAATCATTCAGTAGAGCTATTGTATGAATCTCTTTAAGGGGACCCCAGGAAGAGGAGCTGTTGTTAAAGCACAGCGGCTCGTGTGGATATAATATGTCTCATATTCCCTCTTGTGTCACTTCAGCAAGTCCTGGACAGAGTGAGCCGCATGACGCAGGGAGACCTGGTCATGTCCATGGACCAGCTCCTCACCAAACCTCGACTGGGGACCTGCCACAAGTTCTACATGCAGCCGTTCACCCTGTCCAACAGTAAGAAGCACATCCGCCCTCTCCGCCCCCCACCGCCCCCCCTCCTGTGGCGTGAACACCAGCTGTGATATTAACACGCACTGTGATTTCTCTCCTGTCCTTCCAGACGATGCGAAGACTCTGATGTTCTTCGAGGGCTGTCCCGCTCACCTCGGCTGCTCCATCAAGCTGCGCGGTGCCTCGGAGTACGAGCTGGCCCGGGTGAAGGAGATCATCATGCTCATGGTGTGCGTGGCCTACCACTCCCAGCTGGAGATCTCTTTCCTCATGGACGAGTTCGCCATGCCGCCCAGTTTGGCCCAGAGCACCTCGTTCCCCTGCCTGCTGGAGGGCGCCTCTGCGGAGGAGGAGGAGGAGGCCGATGGAGAGACGAGCGGGAAGGAGACAAACGGGGAGAGCCAGGAGAAAACCTCAGCGACCGAAGACTCTGGGATGGGAGGAAAACCCGAGGAGGAAGGGCTTCCCTCCGAGGCTTCATCCAGAAACGGAGAGACAGACGTTGTTCAAGACAAACTGAACTCAAAATCACCCTCCTCTGTTCAAGAGGAGGAGGCTGGGAACACGGAGACAATGACCTCCTCGCCATTTTCCAGTCCACCGGCTCCGCCTGTGGTTGTCTCTCCCCCATTTCTCATGGAAGAAGACCAGGAGATGACGCTGTCGGACTCGCTCGTCCGGGCGTCCGAGGGGGAGACGAGGGAGGAGGGAATCCCACTGAAGGAGGAGTCGCTCATGGAGGATGGGGACGGTTCAGAGACGCCTACCCCCAGGTTGTTTCGAGACCCTCTGCAGGACGACACAGGGATGTTTGTGGCCGAGGAGGTGACGTCATCTGATGACCGCCTCAAGTCCATCTCCGCCGTCTTCAAGCAGGAGCTGAAGGACATCATCCTGTGCATTTCTCCCTTCATCACATTTAAAGAGCCGTTCCTCCTCATGCCCGCGGGCATGCACTGCCCCAGCAGGGATTACTTCCCTGAGCAGGTGCCTCAGCTTTGTTGTTGTTGTTGTTGTTGTTGTTGTTGTTGTTTTTTAACATCTACTCACTTTACAGTGACTGAACAAGAGCCGGAACTAATCGTTTTCATTATCAATTAATCTGCTTGTTATTTTCTTGATGAGTCTTCAAATGTCTCAGTTTGTCTTAGACCGTCGAAAATATTCAGTTTAAAATGAAATAAGACAAAAAAAAATCTATTAGCATCAAAATAACTGATTTTATAAAATATATAATTAACAGTGATTAGCGGAGTAATCACTGCAGCACACACACTGTTTACTATGATCTGTACCACGCTCACCTGTGTTTTCCCCGCCCCACAGGTCTACCTGTCTCCTCTCCTAAACAAAGACTACAAGGAACTGGATGGGCGCAGAAAGAGGCAGCTCCTTAAAGACCCCGCCCCCTCCTCCCTGGCCGGAGGTCAGACCAATGGCGGTGCGCCGCCCAGGCCCATCGACGTCCTGCCCTGCCACAGTCTCACCAGCACCCGCATCATAGAGCAGCTCAACAGCTGCCAGGATCTGGCCAAAATGGTGGCAGACTACAGAGCGAAGGGAGGTCGCATCCGGCAGAGGGAAGCCACCGACATCTTCAGCGCTGCCGGCGCCGCAGCTCCTTTCAACGGCCAGAGCAGAGCTGCGGAGGTCAAAGCACCGGTGAAGGCCGACAGTGAAGAGGAGAAGCCAAGCAAACTGAACGACATGAGCTGGGCCCCCAAGGTGAGCAGAATGAATTAGTCAGTGGTCAGAAAATTTACAGTTAAGTTTGATAATCAGTTCAGCATTTGTCTTTATCTGGTTCCAGCTTCTGAAATCTGAACATTTTTCTTCTTTTCTCAGTTTTATTTCAAAGTAAATTGAGTGTTTTATCAGGGCTGCACGTGTGTGTTATTTCTTCACTTTATGAGGGGAGCTATGAGTAGATGTGTGTGTGTGTCTCTGTGGCTCTGCTTTTATCTTACTCTTGACCTGTTTGTGTTTGTTGTTGTTGTTGTTGTTGTTGTTGTTGTTGTCGTTGTGTGCTGGACTGTCTGAACCCTGTCAACCACCAGAGACTGTGTGTGCTCTTCAGCAGTTCCTCCGCTCAGTCCAACAACGCGCCCAACCCCTGCGTCAGCCCGTGGTAACCTGCTCATAGAGTCGACGAAGGAACAAAATCTCATGTTGTGTTTGTTTGCGAGTGTGTAGTCACTGTTTGTATCGTCAACAGGATTGTCACAATGGAGTTCTACGGCAAGAACGACCTTTCTCTTGGCGTGTTCTTGGAGCGATACTGTTTTAGGTAAGACCAGATAATAGTGTTTTAAAAATCATTTTTATTAAATTATAATTCTTAATGAGAGAGACACACGGAAGCTAGTGAGCTTCTCCTTTGTCTTTATTAATGTGTGTGTGTGTGTGTGTGTGTGTGTGTGTGTGTGTGTGTGTGTGTGTGTGTGTGTGTGTGTGTGTGTGTGTTGGCACGTTTTCTGCAGGCCGTCTTATCAGTGCCCCAGCATGTTCTGTGAGACTCCCATGGTGCACCACATCCGGCGGTTCGTGCACGGCAGCGGCTGCGTGCAGATCGTGTTGAAGGAGCTGGACTCCCCCGTGCCCGGTTATCAACACACCATTCTCAACTACTCCTGGTGCCGCATCTGCAAACAGGTGTGAACAGCAGCGTTAACCACGGCTCCGTTCCATTTGGTGTCCCAGTAAGACGTGATTCCCACGAGGACCAGGACCTGGTTCACCCTAAAACCATCGTGTTAATAATTCCACCTGAGATTTTCCTGCTGCTGTGAAAAGATTTAACATTCATTTAGAGTTTCGATATGTTGATGTATTTATTTTATTTGTTTAAGCAGGAAATTGTCGATCAAAGAACAAAAAAACATGAATCTGATGAAGCATTTTGTATATTTTGATTCTGATTCTTTATAATGTGAACACACTGACTTACACTGCTGGTTCTTGTAAAGCATTACTGTTTGATTCCTGGAGTTAATCTTTTATAATGGAGATGATTTCTCTTCCTCTGGCCTTAGATTATCTAATACTCATTTCAGCATATTAGAAAATCTGCAGGAGATCATAAATAATGGATATTACTCTACCACTTTACATTTGCTATTAAAAATTCCCCCTTTCTACATGAATAAATGAAGTGAAATGTGATGGCAGCTAAATCTAATTATCAGGCTGAACTCTCCTCCGCTGATTCTCTTCCTGCTCAAGGTGACACCGGTTGTTCCTCTGTCCAACGACTCCTGGTCCATGTCTTTCGCCAAATACCTGGAGCTTCGCTTCTACGGCCACCAGTACACCAGACGGGCTAACGCGGAGCCGTGCGGCCACTCCATCCACAAAGACTACCACCAGTACTTCTCATACAACCAGATGGTGGCCTCCTTCAGGTGGGCCAGCTCCCAGTTTGTCCCTCATTCACCCACTGACTGAATCAGACCAGAGGAAATGTAATGATCCCTGGGAGAGAGTTGCGTATGAACAAAGAGAAAGAAATTATAATGAAGGACAGATTTGGAATAAAGAATAATAAATTGATAAATATTTATAATTTATATGGAAAAAAAACACTTTTACTGTTTTTTATTTTTACTGGTTCACAGAAATATAACTGGAAAAGCAAATGTCTAGAAGGGTTACAGCTGAAATCACCTGTCCTGGAATTAGACTCAACTCTGGATTTACCATTATTTTTTATTCTTTTTGATTTATTTAAATAACAGCATCAATAAAACAAGAAAAAGCAAAGAAAAGGTTGAACATAAAGATCAGAGAATAAGTGAAATGACTCCACAGATGAAAGGACAGACAATAGAAGTTTACAATGGAAACAGAAACAGAATTGTTGAAACAAATAAATTACAACATAAAGAAAATAAGAATAACCAATAAGTTTCCAAAACAGCGATAACTTCAGTAACAACAGCAGTTTCCTGTTTCCTTCTCAGCTACACTTCAGTGAGGCTGTTGGAGATTTGTCTTCCTCGTCCCAAGATCTTCATCAGGAACCTGGGACCTTCCAAAACCATCCTGCAGCAGGACCTGAAGGACTTCTGTCAGAAGTAAGTGGATTCATACAAACATGTCAAACAACAGTAGATCCCAGTGTAACAGCAGTAACGTAAAAAGAATTAAGATATAAACTGTGCTGCTAGAGGAAAGCCTGTAGTTATATTGACAGTCTAATGACAGGGGATGTGCAGATTGTAAAACCCTCAGAGATAAATTCACATGGGGAGGCAGCTAACGATCATTTTCATTAATCAACTGATCTGCTGTTTATTTTCTGGATTAACTGTTTGGTCTATTAAATGTCGTCCAGCCAACAGTCCAAAAAGCAAAGATATTTATTTTATAATCGTATAAAACGGAGAAAATCTGAAATTTTTCACATCAGAGAAACTGGAAGAGATTTCAAATATGTGGCTAAAAAAAGTTACTTAAACTTTAAATTTGTGATTTTGCTCCATATAAATAAAACTGAGTTGAACTGCTCTTGCTCTGGACTCAAAGTGTTGGACAAACTCATGGACTGACCGAGCAGCTTTGTCATCTTTAGGCCGTTCTGCTCGCGGGGCAAAAATAAAACTAGAGATAAAGTTCTGTTTTAATACTGTAGTTTGATTACGGACCTTTAATTTATTGGTTATTCACCCATCACCTGACCGCATGCACTGTTTCCCTCTGCTCGCTCCTCAGAGTGACTCAGGTGTACTTGGCCATAGATGACCGCCTCACCTCCCTCAAGACCGACACCTTCAGCAAGACACGAGAGGAAAAGATGGAGGACCTCTTCGCTCAGAAAGACGTAGGTTCTTCCCCCGTCAGTTACGTCTTCATCTCTGGGTACAAAGGGAGTCTGAAGCTGACTGTGCTGTTTGTGTTTTCTCTGTGTGTGTGTGTGTGTGTGTGTGTGTGTGAAGATGGAGGAGGCGGAGCTGCGGAGCTGGATCGAGAAGCTCCAAGCCCGACTGCAGGCCTGCGGAGTGGACTCTCCCCAGCAGCTGCAGGTCGTTCTGGAGTCGCTGGTGATGAAGAAACAGGGTCTGTGTGAGATGCTTCAGTCCTGGAATGGAAGGTGAGAATCAGCCACTGACTTCTTTTAAATATGTTGTATTGTGGAAACAACTGGGAAATACAGTTTGATGGAATTAAAGTGACATGATCAGTGTTTTAGATTCTCTGACTGTGTGAAAATCTGATATTTTCAGATCCCAGATGATGAACAGAGAATTAGTTTTTAGGTAAAACATGAGATTGGTGTGCAGGAGTGTGGTGTGTGTGGTGGCTGAAGTGGCATGAAGCAACAAACCACAAGCACCTAACCAATTAATATACCAAAGATAACAAACCCCTCCCCCCCATCCTGAGTCGATGTATCAGTGCCAAAGAGTCGACTCTGTCGCTTCTTCCCCTCCCCAGGCTGCAGGACTTGTTCCAGCAGGAGAAGGGCAGGAAGCGTCTGTCCGTCCCCCCCAGCCCAGGCAGGCACAGACAAACCAACGCAGACGACAGCAAGGTCAGTAACCTCCTCCGGCTCGTTCAGCAACTGGGCCCACTGACTCTCACGTGACTTGATTTCAGTCAGAGTAGAGGGTTAGAGGAACTTCCCCCTGGAGAAGATCGACGTCCGAACCGTTTCTACTCTGTGTCTGAAGTCGAAATCAGTTTCCAGAACTCAATATTTGACCAACTGAACCTGAAAAACTTCAAATATTTAGCCACAGTTCCAGAGGGAGGATGGAGTATGTTAGAAATCTGAACTGCTTTATAAACCAAACTATTATTTGAGTTACTAAAGTGGATTTAAACACACCTGCTCTAATTCATGTTTCGTTTATTCGCCATGGAGATGATTTCAGGTTTAATTTAGTGTGATATAAACATGCTTATCGTAATGTATTTATGTGACAGAGCGCCCTGGATTCCTCCCCCCGTAACCCGTCTCCTGTGGTGCAGAATGGTGAAAAAGGTGAGTCAGCTGACCCAGACCTAAACCGGTCCTGGTTTTCCTCTTTGAACGAAGCCGATTGTGGTCGATCCTGACTGTAGTTAACGTGTCGCCGTGTTTTCTCTCTGACAGAGGACCGTCACCTCAGCGCGATGACTTCAGCCTCCTCCTCCTCGCTGCTGCCGTCGCCGGGAGAACCCGGAGCTGAGCCGGTCACACCTGGTCCCTCCTTCTCTGAGCAGGACTCCGTCAGCCTCCCAGAGGGTAGACGCTCATTCATGCACGTAAACCTGTGGCGTGCAGCATCTCTCTGATCTTACCTCTGCTGGATGAAAACGCTGTTTCCTTGTTTTCAGACGTGTTCGACGGACACCTGCTGGGCTCCACTGACAGCCAGGTGAAGGAGAAATCCACCATGAAGGCCATCCTCGCCAACTTTCTGCCCGGCAACAGCTACAACCCCATCCCCTTCCCATTGTAAGTGATCGCACTCATTCATTCAGCCAGGAGAGGAATGTGTGTAGTATGTGTTTGGTATCAGTCCTGACTGATTGTTTTATCTGGTAACTCATGGACTGTGTACACAGTTACTCTGGGCTTTAACGGTTTGTCTCTGACTGTCATGTGACCTGTGTCGACAGTGACCCGGACAAACACTACCTGATGTACGAACACGAGCGAGTGCCCATCGCAGTGTGTGAGAAAGAGCCGAGCTCCATCATCGCCTTCGCTCTCAGGTGACTGTCTCAGAAACAACCTCTTATCAGTGTCCTGATTCCTGTTTTAATTCTCTCTTTACTGGTAGAAATTCACTACAGAAGGAAATTTAATTAATTTGATGGATCTACAGGTTTAATGGACAAGATTTAACTTTCCCATTTTCTCAAAAACTTGTCCTTCATCAGTCTGATAGAAAACGTTCTTCTTTCAAATTGAAGATCATAAATAATGTCAAGCCAATCATCAGCTTTCTGGTTTTAAGTCACTTCCTGGTAATACGTTGTAAACAGGGTCTCAGATTTAAACTTCATGAACTCTGAGCCAGAATGGGTTTAATATTGAACCTGAGAGGATCCACAGTGTCTCCATCATCCGGACAGTTTTATATAACGAGTCTTTGTACAGGAGTAATAAAACTGAACCTGACGTTTTCCATTTTACCTCACATACATTCTCCCACCCGTCCTCTCATATATTCAGATTTTCCTCCTTTTCATTGTGTTTTCTGTAGAACCACTGAACAGTTTTGTGGTTTAACTCTGTTCCTATAAACGTCCTGTTTTCTAAAAACCTGATGTTATTGTGTCATTTGTTGCCTTCCAGCTGTAAGGAATATAAAACGGCTCTGGATGATCTGTCCAAGATATCGAACTCAGGAGGGGATGAGACTCCACAGTCCGTCAGGTACACAGGATCCCCGCTGGTCATGAGGTTTTATAATCATCGCTCTTTTAAATGATTTTATTGATATGGTTATTGTCTCCTCAGTAGTACGGAGAGTCGGGCTAAGAGCAGCCCTGCCAGGCCCAGCGAGTCGGCCTCCTCCCAGCAGAGCCGCAGCAGCATGGACACCGATCCCCTCAGTAAGTTGTTGCTCACACAACCACTTCATTCACATCTTATTTAAAACTTTAGATCTTTTCCTGGAGGTGAAACGCTTTCACTTTCACCGCTGTGTGTTGCAGAGGACGCAGACCTGGCCGACAAACAGAAGAAACAGACCTTGAATCCGCACATCGAGCTGCGTGAGTGTTTTGTCTTCTTTAATGTTTATTTTCCTTCAGAGTTATGACTCTGAAACGTTACTGAAACTGAAAAAACACAATTCAGATCTCTTAGTTTGAAGGCCTTCATAAAAACTGCACTTTTTTTTTCTCTAATTAAACATTTCAAACCACAATTAAAAACTGTAAATCCGACAATCTGAACGCTAACTCGCTAACCGTTTCCCTCGGCTGCTGTTGGATTTGCAGAGTTCTCCGATGCCAACGCCAAGTTTTACTGCCGGATCTACTACGCCGAGGAGTTCCACAAGATGCGCGAGGAGATCATGGAGAGCAGCGAGGAGGACTTTGTCCGCTCGCTGTCCCACTGCGTCAACTGGCAGGCTCGCGGCGGGAAGTCCGGAGCTGTTTTCTACGCCACAGAAGGTTGTGTCTGATGTCTCCCAAAGTCAGAGTGAAACAGCCGTTATAAACCTTATATCCAAAACCTTTGAAATGATCTGTGGAAGTTCTTTTGATAATCGGTTCCAGACTCTAAAACGTTCATATTTTCTTCTTTTCTCTAATTTATATTGTTGTAAACTGAATGTATTTGACTTTAGTGTGTATTTGTGTTAATCATGTGAATCTCCTCCTCCGTGTCCCGTCAGATGACCGGTTCATCCTGAAGCAGATGCCCAGACTGGAGGTCCAGTCCTTCCTGGACTTCGCACCTCACTACTTCACCTACATCACTGGAGCTGTGCAGCAGAAAGTACGCAGCGTGACGACACGCCTTCTGTCTGAGGTTTAGTGTCTGAGAGTTTGAGTAAATAACAATCGTTTCTGCACCGCAGCGGCCGACCGCGCTGGCAAAGATCCTGGGCGTTTACCGGATCGGCTACAAGAACTCCCAGAACAACACGGAGAAGAAACTGGACCTGCTGGTGATGGAGAATCTCTTCTATGGACGCAAGATGGCTCAGGTGAGACTCACAGGACGACACAGTGCTGTGTGATTTCATAATTTAAATAAATCTTTTTTTTTTTTTTATGCTTTTAATATGAAAACGTTGTATCTTTTGTTTTGAAAAGCTTGACTTCCTCTCTCCTCCGCAGGTGTTTGACCTCAAAGGGTCGCTGAGGAACCGGAACGTGAAGACGGACTCGGGGAAGGAAAGCTGCGAGGTGGTTCTGCTGGATGAAAACCTCCTGAAGCTGATCCACGACAACCCGCTGTACATCCGCTCGCACTGCAAAGCCATCCTGCGGGCCGCCATACACAGCGACGCCTACTTCCTGTCCAGCCACCTCATCATCGACTACTCCCTGCTGGTGGGGCGGGACGATGCCACCGATCAGCTGGTGGTCGGGATCATAGGTGAGAGCGGTCTGAAGTGTCTGTCTGTCTTCAGGCTCAGTGAGAACCATCACAGCGACATCTTTCTTCACACAGCTTTTCCCTCCGCTCTTCCCTGCAGATTATATCAGGACGTTTACCTGGGACAAGAGGCTGGAAATGGTCGTCAAATCCACTGGAATTCTGGGAGGTCAAGGTAAATCTTAACCCCCGTTTATAAATCCTTTTTTCAGACACTGAACAGACAACATTTCAGGCTAAAGTGACGGTTTAGTGGCTTTTACCTTCATGTTCCTCGCGGCTTTGTTCACGAGACCTGGCATCTAAGGTGATCGGTGACTAGAGGCATTAATTCCCATCTATTGATCACATATTTTTTAATGAAAATAATGATCAGCCGCTGATCAATCAGGGCCTTCCTCATTATAATGTTAATAAAGTTCAACAGCAGGAAAAACTACATCCGCTGAAACGATCACCGTTGAATCGACACTGAATAAAAACTGATGTTGTACTTTCAAAATGAAGACCAGGACTGAACGTGTCGACAGCTCTGCTCAGGCGTCACCGCTGCGCTGCTGTGTGATGTCATGTGATGTCATGTGATGTCATGTGATGTCATGTGATGTCATGTGATGTCATGTGATGTGATGTCCGTACATGTTGTCACCTGCTCCGGCTCTCATGTTGTGGTCGTGTTGCGTCTCCAGGGAAGATGCCCACCGTCGTCTCTCCGGAGCTGTACCGAACTCGTTTCTGCGAGGCCATGGACAAATACTTCCTGATGGTACCGGACCACTGGACCGGCCTGGGCATCAACTGCTGAGCGGTGCGTGCAGAGACCCGACACACACACGCACACACACACACACACACACACACACACCTCTGCTCCCTCTCAGACTCTCTATGCACAAGATCCAGTTTGGTGGACGGAGGCCTCAGTGATGTGAGAACTGTTCGACCCACCAGAGACGCAGAAGCACACTGGACGTTGTAAATGTTTGAATATTGTGCAGCCTGAAGCCCGACCAGAACACAGCACAGTATCATTCCACAGGAGCAGTGCCACTCTGTGACTGAGGCATTATGAAGACATTTCAATCTGTTTTTAATCACTGGGGAAACATTGTCGTATTATGGGATTATAATTTATGTCCCTCTGGATTCCTGTGTTTCGCTGACGGGGTTTGTTATTTTTAGTGCCATGAGTCCAACCGTTTCAAGAGGACCTGCTGAAAACATTCAGTCTTGTGGTTAAAGTTTGTTAAACAAACTAATTCATGTAATTTAAAGTTTGTAAATGTACAGAGATTATGTAACTATTAAAAGATTATTAACACTGATTTTTTAAAGATATTGTCAGTTTTTTTTTATTTTGGTTTTAATGAAGCAGAAAAGATCAAAGAGAAAATGGACGATATGATCCAAAGACCCTTTAAAATACAGTATTTATCAAATATGTGGATGAGCATATGACTAAAGGTTAGTACTGAAACTTCAGTGACTATTTTTGATTATTGATTAACGGATTTATCAAGTAAATTTCCCAAATGCAGCCTTACGCAACGCTGCGTAATTGTCAAATTTAAATGGAGACATGATGACAATGATGGGAGATGAACTACTTTAAATTCTTTTGTCTGACTTTTAAAACAAGTATTGATTTGAAGAACATTTTTTGCCACTTGAGGGCAGCAGAAACAAGGTGAGAGTGAATATCAATAGGTAATAAAAGCTCTACCTCTCCGTCTCCCCCTTTCGCCTCGGCCAGGTGTCGCCACGCGTCTCTATTTTAACCGTTATTTCAAATTAAAAGCCTTCCGCATTCGCATTTATTGCGACTTCATGACTTCTGCAAAATGTTTATAAAAGGAAACTCTGCATGTGTAAATAGGCAGCTGTTGCCAAGTTACTTAAGAAGTGATGATATGGAAATGTTTCCAAAACATCAGTTACTGCAGCTTTAAGGTTTTTATCAGCCAAAATCAACAAAGCTGAAATGTGAGGATTTAGGGATTTTCTCTGTTTTGTAAATGAAATATCTTTGAGTTTTATACTTGTGCACTTTGAGGATGTGACTTTGACCCTTTAGATCAATCACTTGTAAGACAATGGACAAATTAATAAATAAATAAATCATTAGTTGCCACCGTCATTAAAGCTGCAGAATTTACAATGGAGACAAATAATTGAATTAGTGGCAGAAATGGGACTTTTAAAAATGCTTTTTGCAGTTTTAAAATAATAGTTAAACTGATAAACACACAAACAAAAAGAGGAAAGTCAAACTCATTCGCTTCAGCAGCAAGATTGTGACTTTTCAAAATAAATAACAGGCCGAAGAAATCAGCTGATTTCAGGTCAGTGAAAAGAAAAAAAAACACACCACAGTAACTTCAAACAGGTTTTTTATAATTGTACAATTTCTATAAAACAAAGGGTAGCTGACAAACAGCCCTCAGCATGTCGTACTGCATCAGGAACTGGTATGAAAATCATCAGACTCATGACGATAACGATTGTCAGGACTGGTGAAGCTCATCTTCTGGTAGAATAACAACAATAATAATTATAATTATAATACTGGCAGACAGATTCAGTCTCTCAGCAGGGACAGTAGAGGCAGAAAAAGACTGTGCTTGTTAACAACATGTGCTTCTCAGGCGTCTTTGTTTCAATCTAACTGCAGCTAACGGGGGGGGGGTTCAATTTAAACTTCAAATTCATTAATATACACATCTGTAAGTCCGTCCTGAAAACATCATCCAAAACAAAAAGAGAAAAAAAACACTGTTCGTGTTCAACCGCTCAGGATGGAGACGTCACTCTTTGATGGAGATTTTTTTTTTTTTTTTTTCATACGAAGCTTTATGTCAACATTATATACAAAAGCAGTTCAATTTCATATCAGTACCTAAGCTAACACACTCTCACACACACACCAACGTAAAGGATAAGGCTGAAATTTTTCTCATTGTCAACAAATCACATGAAAAGACTAAAAACATTGATTTTTATCCAAGTAAAAGTATTCAAAGTGCTCTGTTGTTGTCCAAAAAGTATTAAAAACACATTAATGTGCCACAATAGAGCAACAAATGTGTATTAATCCGCAGCGCAAAATAGTCCCCAGCAAGCGCCCAGCTGTTTTTTTTTTTTTAAATAAACGTAAATATTTTGAGGTTTTTAAAGATTTATATCTTCATTAGGAAACAGGAAGTCGTATTAAGAGACAAAACATCGTTGTCTTTGTCTCTTCGTGGGATTTGTTGACAGTAAGACAAATACAGGAAATCATCAGCATCAAAAGGAAAAGAAAAGAGTGGAGTGAGACACCATGTCACCAAAATAAAAGCATCTGCATAATGATCCCTCACGCAGAGAAAACTCCAAAACTAAACCGCTCACATTATGCTCGACATTAAATAATCAGTTCACCACAATTACAAAAATAAATTTGGTTTCTAGTGGTAACGAGACGTGCAGATAGTTGTGGTTTGATTCGTCCAGGTTCTGAGATACTGAAAATCATTAACGACAGTCACAGCAATTACAGACTTTATTTTCTCCATTAATCAATTAAATGAAAATAACTAAAAGCCCAAATTAACTTCTTCAGACTTCCTGTGTTCAGACCAACAGAAACATAAAACCAGCAAATATTCATATTCAAGAAGCTGAAAACAGTGAATTTTAAATTTAAAAAAAAAACATGATTAAATGATTAATTAATTATGAAAATAGTTGATAAATTTTATGTCAATCAACTAATTTCAATTCTAATAACACAAAGATACAAAATAAATGAACCATAAAAACCCAGATAATTACAGAATAACTGCAACTCTGACAAAACAATCTCACTTCAAGGTCCATTTAGTAGCTGTTCTGGAGCTTTCAATCACTTCACATGATCTTCTTTAGCACAGAGAGTTTGCCCAGTTATTATGAACTTGAAAATATTTGAATTTACTTTATTCTTTTTTTTTTTCCTGATCAACGTTGACGTAGAAGTTCATTCTTGATCTTGGAAACAATATCTGACAAAACACTGTCACCCTCAGGTCCATTTAGTAGCTCTTCTGGAGCTTTTGATCACTGATATTTGGCACATTGTTTCTGCTTCCTGCCTCGACTTGACTATAAAAATGCACCAAAAAAAAAAAACAAAAATCCAATATCTCCCAACCTGGACAAACCCGTGTGACTCAGCACCACTAGGGTTCATTTAAAAAAAACTTATTTTGTAATTCTGGTGAACTGTTGCTTTAAAATCATAAGAATATCAGGATCTACTAACACAGGATATGTGGTAAAGGAAACCAAATGAAAAATTAAATCGACATCAAGGCACTGGACACGTTTGAGGACAATGGCACATAGCTGGTAGGTAGACAAACAGAGGGGAGGAAAGTGGTCAAGGCCCTGTGTTATTTTACATTTAAGTGCTGGCAGTATTTGTACCATCATGTATTAGATAATAATAAATACCACGACGAACTGAGGAGACCTCAAAAGAGCTTTTCATCGCCGCAGGAATTTGGTCTTTGTGGAGAATCTGGGCTCGCATGATTCGACATTTAGAGCTGCCCAGGTGGGAAATAGGTGTCAGTTTGGTCCCCGCCGGCTACCCTGGTCTACGAAGTGTTGCACTTCAGGTCGGGATAAAAACATGGGAGTCGAAACAGTGCAGGAGGCCGTTCAAGGGCCACAGGAAAAAAAAGAAAAATGCATAAATCTCCTCTTTCAATCAAGTCTGCACAAACCCTGTGTTCCTCAGTGGGTACATCCCAGTTCCCTCACCTGATCCTGACCCAGAAACTGATCCGGTTCGACATCATTTAACTTTTTGTTTTTGCTTTAAGGAAGAAGGATCCACGAGACCAGGATTTGATTAAAGGCCAAGTAGGACCAAAATCTCCTCGCCATTCATTTCTATGCAAAACAGGATGAGAAACGTTTGCCTCCGCCTTCACTTCAATCTGATTCTCCATCAGAAAACATTATATAATAACTTCTGAACAACAATCGTGGATATTTTGACAAAGAAAACACTTGAAATCTTTCAGGAGCTGGAAGCGACGTATGTCTGGCAGTGTTGTTTGAAAAATGACTGAAGCGATTAATCAGCCAAGTAATTTTCTGTCGATGGGGGATGTCGTTAGTTTTGCAGATATTTGGTCACAAAACAAATTAAAAGTTTGACCTGATGACGGCGCTTCGTGGAAAGTTATTATAATAAATCCCGAGGGGAGAAACGACGTCTGTCTCGAGTTTCATGGAAAAAAAAAACATCCAGTAGTTGTTGAGATATTTCAGAACAAGTCAAACACGTCGACCTGTCGGCGGCTCAAAGTCAGTGGGAGTCACCTTCTGGGGGCCGTGAACGTCTGGACAAAATTTCATGACAATCCACATGATGAACCAGCCGACAGACGCCAACGAGGGGAAACGTAGTGAAGGGAGTTGAGATGTACCCAGTGTGATTTCCTCTTTCCTGGCGATTATTGAAACGACGAAACGTCCTCTGGAGGCTGTAAACTTCACGTTCCAGCCACAGTTCTTCAAAATCAAACAGCAAAATCCTAGTTTGTGCTTCGGTTGTTAAAATCAAGCTCTACTGCGTGTACCTTGTCATGTGTAGTCATCTACGCGTGGTGGAAGTCAAATATTTGGTACAACAACAAGCCAAAATCATAAAAAGGTTAAAATTACACGTAGCTTTCTTAACGGTCTACTTCATTTTGTACAAACAGTTAAAAATGGCTTTTTTTTAATTATTATTATTATTTTTTTTTAAGACAAAACGAGTCTCAGAGGCGCGTCGCTATGCCATGCAGAGACTAAGTACCGAGGTCGGTTTGGATTTAAGCACCCGTGAGTAGAAAGAACGAACCGTGGTGTGAGTTAACACAAGCATGCAGACCCAGAACCAGAACTGGTCCGGATCGAATCCTTCTTCAGCCACAGTTCCAGGGAGCAACTGGTTCGGCTGCAGGAGTCAGTCCGGGGCAGTGCAGCTGCTCCCATCAGTGTGTTGTTTTTTTTTTGTTTGTTTTTTCTGTTTTGTTTTTGTGTTTTTTTTTTTGTTTTGTTTTTTTGGAAAGAGCTCGGAGCCTCCAGCCTGGAGTCAGAGGAGGGAGATTCTGTACATGTTCCCACATGAAGACGGTGCGGAGCCACAGATGTTCAATATTAAATAACTAAAAAAGAAATAATCACATAAATAAATTAAAAGTGGTGGAATGTAACTAAGAATATTTATTCGTGTACAACAGAGGGAAATATTGTAAATTTATTTGGCAGCTTTAGTTCATTTAGATCTTATAAAATATGAAGCTTTGTTATAAACTACCAACAACTATCTTCATGGTTCAAGTTTCTCAAATGTGAAGATTTCCTGCAAGTTATTTTCTTTATTTTATTTTATTTTTTAAAACAAGCATTGGGTTCTATGGCTTGTTGTGATTCTCAGTATTTTCAAAATTAAACCAAACAATCAATCAAACAATTAATTGAGAAAATAATCAGAAGTTTAATCTATAAAAGGGGAAAAAAAATTAGTTTGAACCAACTACAACAGTAATACACTTTTACATTGATGCGTTAGTGGTAATAATGATCCATAATAATGATGTAATAATAGTAGGGCCATTTTTCTGCATTGAATACTTATAATTCTTTAAGTACATATTTCTTATTATACTTACATACTTACTAAAGTAACATATTCAATGCAGGATTTTTACTTTGTGGTATTAGTACTTTAAAGAATCTGAATATTTTCACCACCACTGAAAATATATAGAACAAGAAATTATAAAAACTCAACATTACATTATAAATGTTTTACACTGCAGGAGTGTCATTTGAACAAAGTAATAATCTTAAGTTAATTTTACTGCAGATTTAGACGTGAGTGTTAACATATCCCACTTATTCACTGCAGCACTGTATCTATGAAATACTTTTAAGTACAATTTAATTTCCTTCAACAGACTTCCGCACTATTTTAAGCCGGATAAACCGGAGCTTTCCGAAAAATTTGAATTTCCTCAGTTGTAATTACGACTTTGATGTTGACGTGAACATTGACGAGCAGTAATTACAGAAAATTATTTTTACTAATTATTGTTTTGTTTCTATATTTTCTGTAGTTTATTGATGTGATGATTGATTTATTTATTTGATATTGAACACTTGGCTCCATCACTGCAAACATCCACGCTGCGTCACGACCAAGTCTCTACACCTCCACCTGAAGAGTGCACCTCACAGAGCAGGAACCCTGCGTCGCTCCGGGGGGAGGAGGGGAAGTTAAAAGTTCAGGCGCACAGTCGGAGGTGGGAGGGTAGAGAGTCGGTCAGAAGGTTTCCGAGTCCTCCGAGTCGTTCTCGGTGGTTCCCTCGCTGGAGGGTCCGGAGGGGTTCCTGGGGCTGCGTGGCCCCCGAGGGCCGGTGCCCGGGCCTTTACCCCCCTGGTGGGGCAGCTGCCTCAGCAGGGAGCCTGGGGAGGGAGCCCCGGAGCTGCAAGGGGAGCAGAAAGGCATCATGGTAGCCAGAATGAGAGCCAGACAGTCAGCCACCTCTCTGCTAGGAGCACAAGCCAGAGCAGGGGTCAGACCTGAGGTAGAGAGACAGAGAGAAAGACAGAGAGAGAGAAAAGAGAGAGAGGAAGGAGGCAGGGAGGGAGGGCGGGAGGGAGAGGGACAAAAGGGAGAAAGGAGGGCGAGACGTGGACGTGGAGGAAGCGAGGAAGGCAAAGCAGAGACAGGAGCAGGAGACAGAAGGAGGGACGGAGCAGCATTCCATTAGTGTCCAGCCAGCTGACATGAGGAGGGGGGAGGGGCTCACAGGGACGACCACAGCTGACGTCTACCACTAACGAACAAACACATTTAATTAAAGTCCAACTGAAATCACATTTAACCCCCCCCCCCCCTTTTTGCAGTTTAAAATGATGTGTATTCTATATATGTTGAGTTCATTTGGGGTCATATGACAAAGGCTGAGGAGTGTTACACTGTAGGGATCAAGAAGACATGTGCTTTTCCCCTATTGCCTTTGTTTTTCCCCTGTTGCCTTTGCTTTTCCCCTATTGCCTTTGCTTTTCTCTTATTGCCTTTGCTTTTCCCATTTATATTCTAATTCTTTTGTAGATTCATTCTTGTTTTGGCACTCCTATGACTCCATATTACAGAGCAGATATGTTTTCAGACTTAATTTCAGTTGGACTTTAAAATGTCTAATAACACAAAGCAAACAAGCAGCAAGGAAACAGTTTAAATCAGAGTTCCCACAGTCGCCCCGAGGTCAAACTCCACGTCTTCATGACTCTGAAGATTTAATTCCCTTCAGATCCACTGAGAAAACTTTTAACCCCCACCACCTTCACTCTTGGTGAGTATGGAGTGAAGTTTGAAGGATTTAGTGACTCCAGGGGGAAACTGTGTGAGGTCACAGCTTCGGTTTGGTCTGAAAACCAGTTAGAAAGAAGTGAGTCAGGCCACATTAGCTGCTACTAACATAACACACCCAGATCTCACTTCAGTTGCATCATGGGTAATGTAGGCACCAGGTTTTGGCAAAGAATGAAGAAGGTTTTGACCTTTTTTTTGTTTTGAGTTTGACAATGTTATAGGAGCTCAATGCTAAATCAGTGCTGTAAATTATTATTGATAATTAGAGGCTGAATTTTAACGAGGTTTTTATGGAGTCATTACATTGTTGAACTAATAACGTGAAAGACAATGTCCCCTGTTCATGTCCAGCAGGAAATCTTTGTTGCTCTCCATCTTTCTCCTCCTCCTTTTTCTTGTCACGTCTCTACTCTGAGCAGTGGGAACCCTTTTTAAAGACACATTCATTTGCAGCGCACACAGAGAAACCAGACTGAAACACTGAGCTCATGCTGGAACGGAGGAGACCAGTGACAGTGGCGTGCAGCTTCATCACAGTAAGAGCCTGGATCGGATCAGACCAGAACAGACCGGACCAGGTTCATCCTACCGTTCTCATCCACCGTCTGAACGTTGGCTCCTCGGGACAGCAGCTCCTGGACCGCCTGCTTCAGACCGCTGCGAGCTGCCAGGTGGAGAGGACTGACGGTACAGACGAAAAGAAAGAACTATCATCGTACTGTGTCTGTCCTGCTGCTGCTTCAGTATAAAGAGTGAAACTTGTAATCTTACGTTCTCTACATGGATCATTTCTAATGCATCAAATTACAGTGACATTAAATTCTTTTTGCTCGGGACAGAGGATACTCACGTCTGCAGCGCTGCATTTGTGGCGTTTATGAGCGCAGTGTCAGACAGTTTCTCCAGGATCAACAACACACAGTCTTCTTTTCCCTATAAGGACGAGATGTCAGGCTTAAGAAAAGTCTTAAATGTCCTTTTTACCGATTTATTGTGTTTGATTTCAGCAAAAAATGGCTGTTAAATCCTCAGTACTTTTGTTCCAGACATCTGATGATTTCCTATGTGGACCTTATATAAATTGGTTATTTTTTAATTGATTAATCCAATTAAAAGGAACTATGTGGCTACTAGGGTAGGATTCATGACTGGTGGTTTTCTTCTGCACAGTTGCAGCTTAAAATCCCATTTGTCTTGCTTTCGCTGTTTTGATTTATTTATTTTTTATTATCAAAGTCCATTATGTCCCGTCTGACATTTATAATATAGATACTAACATGTTAATATGCTGGCAATATTTGTTTTACTGTTGCATTCATGTTGCTGTTCTGTACACTGTACCTTGTGAAAAAAAGATACTTAAAAATAAAAAATATAAGTAAAAAAGAAAAGAAAAAAAGAATAAAAAGTTTCAAATATGGATGTATTGTACATTTTTTGCCAAGACTATTTGAAAATATATATTTATTTCATGTGAATAGTTGCAGTCACGATTTATATTGAATGTTTATATATAGAAAATAATGTTTCATGAAGCATTTTATTAGAAATGTGAAGCTGTCAAATATGACAGCTCATAATGAAACAGTTACAAAACTAATTAGTGTGAAACTGACAGCAACTATGAGCCTCATAGCTGACAAATAATATATTTATGCCTTACTATGCCATGACTTTTTATTCCTGACTTCATGAGGTTCAAGGCTGAAATGTGAATTTTTACTAAAGCATCATAACAAATGAATAACATAGAAAACTGTTTAGTAAACTCTGTACAGACTCATTTCCCATAAAGGAGAACGGGACACAACCAAAAATGATGCTTGAATATTACTTTAACAACAGGAAAAGAGGCTTACATTAAGTTTATTTTGTTCATAAAACTGAGGGTTATTGATATGTTGACTGACAGAGACGATGACCAATCGGTTTGTGTGCAGGTCTCACTGAAACAGTGGGAGGTGGAGTTTCTTAAACACATTGGGATTAAGACAAAAAGTATTTAAAGTGGAGGTGGACGCCCCCTTGTGGACACTTACATTACTGCAGGATAGATGCAGGGCGGTGTTGCCATCTTTGTCTGTCAAACTGAGGTTGGCGTTGGCGCTGGTCAACAGCAGCTCTGCAGCACAAAACAGAACATATATGTAAAATTTAAACTAGAGTTAAATATTGTGAAACAACAAAAACACACTGAAGTAATAAGGCCATCAGCCAAGGAAAAGGTGTAAGTACCGAGAGCCCCGACTCTGCCCTTCTCAGCAGCCATCATCAGTGGAGTGTGACCTGATTGGTCCACAGCATCAACAGGTGCATCATGTGAAAGGAGCAGCTGGACACAGTCGACGTGGCCCGCGAACGCCGCACCATGAAGAGGAGTCCTGCAGGAGAGAAGGAGGATTGAAAACAGGATAGAGCAGAAAAGTGACAATATAATGTTTTATGCCTTACTATACTATGACATTTCTATGCCTTATTATACTATGACATTTTTATGACATTTTATGCCTTAATATACTATGACATTTTAANGAAAGGAGCAGCTGGACACAGTCGACGTGGCCCGCGAACGCCGCACCATGAAGAGGAGTCCTGCAGGAGAGAAGGAGGATTGAAAACAGGATAGAGCAGAAAAGTGACAATATAATGTTTTATGCCTTACTATACTATGACATTTCTATGCCTTATTATACTATGACATTTTTATTACCTACTATATTATGACATTTTTATGCCTTACTATACTATGACATTTTTATGACATTTTGTGCCTTACTATACAATGACATTTTTATGCCTTATTATACTATGACATTTTTATGACATTTTATGCCTTACTATACTATGACATTTTTATGCCTTA